AGCACCACGAAATCAATCTTTCGTCTAGTGTGCAGGGTCGACCTCCTGCTCAGGTTCACATTTGCAACCAGTGGGCCCGAGTGACGCGTGTGGGCGGCAGTGTTTTTGTCCTCTTCACTCTCTGGACGTCTTTAGATTTGCTGCCAGCAGTAGCGACTTGCAAAAGATGGCGGTCGTTAACTGAATAATGTAGCAGAAAGAGAAAGAAGGGTGGGGCGGGAGGTGTTGTGGGAGGGTGATACCACGGGTGACTGGGGAATTCTGGAAGCAGAATAATTAGTTTGATAAAAAAGAAGCATTATAATTTAAGGGAGGTTGTGACGTAACAGGTGAAGTGCAGTACAATGAAGATAAAGGGCACATTTAAGGTAGGCAGCTGGAGGAGGAACGAAGGCTGCTTGAACAGAAAGCAAATTGCCACAGATAAATATGTGAGACGGGGAAATAGGAAGTTGAAGAGCAACAGCCCAGAGTGTAACCGAAGAGATTTGGTCAACAGGAAGGTAGCTGTTAGGGAGTTGCGGGTAAATATTGGGGGAAGGACGGCCTTTACACTCTAACAGGCGACCCATGTTTGTAAACACTGTTGTTGACACACCCCGCCCCTGTAACATCATCGCTGCTGTCTCTGTTGTGCTTACCTCGCTGTGCTACACCTAATTTATTTGTGTGGACTTTCCGGCGGTTACCAACATTACTTTTTATTTATTTGTTTATTTGTTGTTTCGTTGTCTGTAGTGTTTAAAATTTATTTGTATTTTCGTTTTCGTCACGCTGTCTCACCACAGGATCAAAGGCGCTATCGTGACTTTTGCGGAGGGATGGTTATGGCATGACAAAGACAGTTTCCCGCTGCCCCAGCAGTACTCCACCAACACATGTATATGGTTAGCACCCTGGCCTGGAGGACCTGGTGTGTGCGTGTGTGTGTGTGTGTGTTGCAGTATTATGGCTGCCACTACCCGAGAACAGTCCTCCCTGAATATGGTGGACAGCAGGAATATAAACAAATCCTCCTAAATTTGTTCCAGTATTGTGTGTGTATATTTCTACAAACTTGTAAAGGACAAATGCAAGTCAGTAATATAATTTAGATTGAAATGTGGACTTTTGTGTAATAGTTTCCTTAAATATTCAGGATCGTATATATTTCAAATTTTCGGGTGGAATATGTGGACCCGTTTGATATTAATATTCCCTCGCCAGTATGAAGTAGCGTTCCATGTCAATTTTCCTCCCAAGTACGTGGGAGGTTCACATTCTGATATTACTACCAATATGAAAGCGTGTGGAAGGAATAGTAGTATGTTTCGGTGCCGGCATAATTCAGGTCGGTATAAATGAATGGTGCGACGTGCAGAGACTTTGAAGCCCAGCGGGAGGTCGTATCCTGATACAGCTTTTATGAGGCAATCTCTTCTCGTCACCCAAGTTCACCGCCCGCCTCCACCACCTATTCAACACCATTGCCGCGCGCGCCAGATTTGCCAGGGATTGTGGGTATTGGCACGCTGGCGGGTATTACGCTCATTGTCGGATATTTGTCACGTTGCCCCTAGTCTTTATTCTCTACCACCACTGCCAATGAAAAAAAAATCTCGTGTTTTAAGTCTGTACCTTATTGTTTCATAATACAAAGTTCTCTCTATCATAGTTTTATAGTAAAATGGGGATCTACAGGTCGATTTAAACTTATTTTATTGCTTTTTTCGTATTGTGTGAAGACATTTTTTTTAATCTGTCATATATGAAAAATAATGTACGTTCATTTTATTTATTTTTCTTAATGTTCACGGCTACTGACAGTCCGGGGAGGGGATGGGTGACACTAGGCCCCCCCCCCTTAGCTATGTTTCGTGATCACTGTGTTGTTGGTGGAGTAAGATATCAGAGAGTATCTGGGGGTGACAGTGAAGAGCCCTCGGCCACACGAAGAGCCAGCTGGACCTGTCAAGTCGCCGACCATCCTCACTTCACTGACTTTTATTTCCTCGGCCGGGAAGGGGGAATATATGAACAGTTTCTCCTCTTCACTTTATTTTAAAAGCTTCCTTGATCCTCACTGCCTGATCACTTCCAGCATTATGAAGGAGAATGACTAGTGTGTGTGTTGGGAAGATCATGGCTCATGTTAGCTACTGTTATTGTCTGCCGCCAGTTGGGTTACCCCCCTCCTCCCCTGCTTATGTGATTGGTTGAGAGGTTTCCGGCCATTATCTTCTAAACTGTTTGCCTGATAAACTTCGATTTGATTCATCATTGTTACGGCGCAGGAGTGCGACAACTTAAACACTGTGAATCGTCTCCATACGTTGTTTACACTACTGGGTAAATACTTTTCAATTTTGAATGTTATAAGTTGCAATTATTGGGATTACTAGTGTGTGAATGTAGGTCTCATATGCGTGATGGCAGATTCAGCCCTCACCCCTTCCCCAAAAAAGACTGCACTCAGAACAATATGACCATCGCTTTGATAACGTTAACCAAAAAAAAAATACCTCTCGAGTTGAAGGTAAAATACGACGAAATTATATTGGTACCTTTTTGGTGTTAATTAAGGCAGTAGGACCAGTTTATGGATCCCTTTCTTGAGCAATACACTGTGGCCCTGGTGAGTTGGCCCCGCCTGCTGTATAATTGATGGTGTGGTGTTGTGTGCTGGCTTCTCGTGTGCCAGCCACCCTTTACAGTCTTAAAGGTAAAACAGAATGAACCGTTTTTAAGAGTTGTGGAAGAAATCGTTTACGGCCAGGGAACATATGGCGTTCTCCGTCAGTACACACGCTAGGAATCATAATAGTCATGTGTACATTACTTGGAGACATTGCTAGATGACGGTCTCACTATGTAACTCACGTGGTTGTCTTGATACATTAAAAATGTTACCAGGTGTCAACACGGGGTCCAGGCAACATAAGTTTGTGTAGTTGTCTACTTAACACTGAAGCTACATGATTAATAAGCCTGTGATATTGAAGTGTTCATAATTAATTCCTCTAACACTGACGCGGGAACACAGGTGAACATTGCTGATTAATTGTTTTTTTTTTTTTCCGTTGTTTCTTGTGAGTGATTTTTCTTACAGTTCCCAGTTTCTCGTCATGTCCAATGTGATATGGTACAAAGTCTATTATGGTGTACTCGTCGCTTCACACACATGCCAGCACCACTTCCATCACCAGAAACTACTCGACGTCAAGTTTGACCATTCATGCATCATTTCATCTCTTTGGTCTATCATTTTCACTCGTACCATCCTCTCGCAACATGTCTATATAACCACCTAAGAAAATTTTGGTCTCACTAGCCGTCGCTTATTTCACTTCTAAAGTTATGTCTTATTTTTTATTTTATCCTTTACGTCACATCATGGTTACCACTGTTGCCATGGTAATCGTTAGGTTCGTTTACAGTCGTGAGATGTCTAGTTTTCCTGGTGTTAGTATGATGATCCATTACAGCCTCTCACGCCCCTTGTTACTTGTTCCCATCCAATTATCACTTGCTTTAATGGTTCAGCGTCATTGGTAAATATATTTAAAGCATTTGCCTCATTTGTTCGCGAGTTATTGATAGATTTAGAGAGCAGTTGGATCATTTGTTGTCTGGTAATTGACGTGCCAAAAATAGAGGTTAATGTCCGAGAGAGGGAGAACACCTAGCTACGGGGGGGGGGGTGTCTCTAACTCCTGTATAGATAATGGGAAAAGTTGTATTTAAATAGGATTTCGCGGTTTCGCAGTTGGAAGACATTTTCTTAAAAGTTGGAATTGTTTGTAGGTCCGTACAGGTTGTTGTCTCCCTCGCTCGTCTCTACGCAGGGGAAGGGTGAAGGAGTGTGTGGTGGAGACAGGAATATAAGAGTGTTTGTCAGGATATTCGTGAGTGGAGGGTGGTTGGTAGTGGGTTTATTAGAACACACCAGTGGTCTTGTGTTGCAGGTGTATTAATAAATTTAAGAGGGATGCTGGCGGCTGTTTATGATGGTCCAGACATCTTTGTAAGTATAGCAATAAAGTATACGATGACACTAGTCTCTTTTATAAAGACATTGACTGGTTTATTCTGGTTTTGATGGAATATTTGTTGATACAGTAATTGATGTACTTAAGTTATGCAGAGGTATTATGCGAATGCGTTTTAAGACTTTAATATTAGTTTAGTGAGACAGCCGCTGCACGCCTACCAGAGCACTAGTACAGTACCAGTTTGTAAATTAGGTTGGTCGACTGCATTCACCCGGATATTTGTGTTCCTGCTGTGATTATTATTTCAGCTGGCTTCCTCTCTCGAGTCTTGTTTTATCATCCTGGTGGTTGTCACAACAACACTGGCAGGTTATATGACTTTAATAAGTTTTAATAAGGTTTGTTGAGCTTTATGAAGCTTTAGGGAGGTGTTGGGACTTTTAGAAAATTAGTTGATTTTTCTTATAACTTTAGTAGGTTTTATGGAAATGCTTTTCGATTTTCAAGAATGATTTATTATAGTACAGTATTGTTCTGTGTTACTCTGTGGTATGACAGACCCACCTCCATGAACAGTGTAATGCTTATGTGTTGTCTGTTAAAACATGTCCACTGTCATCATCAGCCACACCTTAACAAAAAGCTCAAGGTTATGTAGAAGTCTATTGCACTGTAACTTCATAAATTTTGCTAAAATTTGACAACTTAGGTGATAACCTGGGAAGGACTCAACGGTGAGGGTTAACTGGTCAACCCAAACTTACCAGTTAAAAAACGAGAAAGCTTTGTACTTTTTAATTGAAAATTTTCGGCTTCAGGTATGTGCTATGTTAGCATTAAAACCCTGTACAGTTTTCCAAAACATAAATTTGTTTTAAGTTATTTTTCTTAAAATAGATCATTGAATAAACATGTTTGAGTTCCCAAATCTTCATGTTCTTAACAAGTTTTGTATGTCCTCGGTGTGTATTTTCTCTTGTAGTATTTCAGTAGGTGGGAACACCCAAATAATGATGATGTTGTTTACAGATACAGTTCATCGCCAAAGCCCAAGTCATGCTTGGTACAACGCGGAGAGTCCGGCGGATCAGTAACAGTTTCCCATCACAGCCACGGCAATTCCACCAGGGTACACCACCACGAATCAGCTATACCCAAGATGACACACCAACACAGAGCAAGGTAGGTCACCAAACCTCACAGTTGTAAATCTACTTCTAATTAGTAAAAAAACAAAATAAATAAAAAATATCACCTAAAAAGCTCACCTACAGTACTGTGCAGTATTAGGTACTGTACTGTATTTAGATTTGCTGCAAAGTAATTTTATTTTGTTTTTTTTAATCATTCATGACAATAAATTTTTAATGATTTTTGGCGTAAAACTTATTATTATCACCATGGAACATATTAATTTATTTATGGATTTTTATAGGATTTTTTAAATTATTTTTATTGTATTTGAATGAGGTAATTGTATATTACATATTTTGTGGTTATTTAGTGTGAGGAACCGTGGAGTTGTGCAGCGAGGCTCACTTGGTCACTCGTCATCACATGAAGACTCCTCTCCCCATGCTTCCCCTCACCCATCACCTCATCTTTATGGCTCATCTCGTCCTGCGCCCCAAGTAAGATTTTAATTATTCTGCTTTTTAAGTTTTATTTTTAAAGTTTTAAGTAACTTGCTGTTTTTTTCATTGGGTGTCTCAGTAGAAATGTAAAACTATTAAAATATTTAACTAGATTATCAGTACATTACAATAATACAATAGATGTACTGCACTGTGCTAATGTATCTCTCAAATGAAAGGTTCTACCCTTTCTCATTGTCACTGTTATGATGATTATAAGATCTTGCTTCAGTTGGTTACTCACTGTCTCCATACTATGAGAACATTTGAAGCTTTTGATTTAACAGTTATTAAAGTGAAGATTTTGAAAAGTTTGAAGCTTTATGGGAAACAAGAACAATTACTGCATTTCTGTACTGTACAGTATTTGAAGGTGAAGAAATAAAGATGGACAAATTATCAGTGGTTCATAAGTGATAGAGCTCACTGGAAGGTCAACAGATAGATAAATATTCCCTGTGTACTACCTGTACATCCATCAAGTTTGTTATACTGTACTGTATAATGAGAAGAAATGAAATATTGTACAGTACTGTATATTAATTCTTGCTTATGACAGCTTAAGATCTTAGTTGTTGTGACTTGAACAAATCTTGTTATGTCAATACAGCACTGTACAACAAATATTGTTACAGGATTTTTGGTATCTTTCATATTAAAGAATACAAGATGTTGTCTCTTCATCGAATTAATTAATTTTTGGAGAAGAGTACAGTACAGTATTGCTTTTTTGTTCCATTTATATTTATATACAGTATTTACTACAGTATATTATTTATTATCTTTATTTTTGTACAGGCAAACACACACCAGTGCCAACATGTCAAGGAAACTGGCCCACTTCCTTCCAGTGATGATCGCATCACACTAGTGGTGGAGGGCACACGTTTTATCGTTGACCCTGCCATATTTACCGCCCATCCTAACACCATGCTCGGAAGGTATGACTTATTCCTTAAATGTTCAGAGTGAACTACGGTATTTTCTATTCTTATATTGATTATACCTTAATGATAGGAGAAATAAAACATACAGTATACAGTACTGTACTGTACTGTACAGTTCATTATAGTCTGTACTGTATAGTGATAGGTTTCATTTACAGTACTTTTTTCATCTAAGCAATAAATAAAATAATTTCAGAATGTTTTCATCGGGTCTGGAGTTTACCCACCCCAATGAAAGGGGTGAATTTGAAGTAGCAGAAGGTTTCTCATCAGCTGTGTTCCGTGCCGTGCTAGACTACTACAAGAGTGGAACAGTTCGCTGCCCTCCATCTGTCAGTGTGCAGGAGCTTCGGGAGGCGTGCGATTATCTTCTTATTCCATTTGATGCCAACACAATAAAATGCCAGAATTTACGTAGGTGTATAAATTGTTTTATGTATTCAAATTATGTACCTATTATGACTAAAGTCAGTTACACACATTCATATGTGCTTGCTTTTTTCTTTTTAAAGTCATTATTTTATGTTTGGTACTGAGGTATTTTATATTAACAAGTAATGTAAGTAAATAAAACTGTAATAGAAGTTTTTTTAATTACAGTACATTTATACTGTATATAAAAAAAAATCACCTCTATTCATTCAGTTAATTTACAGGGCAGATTTATGAATGCAAAGAGGGAGTTTGATTGAAACCTGTGTGATTATGCTCAGCAGCAAATATAATTCAGCCTTCTGTTTTAGGTTACCTTCTTCCCATTGCGTAACCTCATGGTAAACTAACATAATTTTCAAATTTGTTTGATTTTTAGATTCCAGCTATATAAGTTTGGTTCCTGAAGATGCAGCCCTCAGACTTACATGCCATACAGAGTTAGTTGCTTGATCCAGACTCATTTTTTAAATGAAATTTGAATCAGTCCACTACAGTAAGTTCTCGCTTAACGTCAGGGTTACGTTCCTGAAAATGCGGCGTTATACGAAACAGCGTTAAGCGGATCAATTTTCCCCATAAGAAATAGATAAAATATGGGAGTTATGTTCCCCAGCCTCCCTTTGCCCCATGAAATACATTACATATACAGAAAGTCATTGCCATTTCTATAGTAAATAGTATATAGAACTACAGTACTATGTTTGTATTGGTACTCACCGATGGGAGGAGGTGGTAGAGTGAGTGTGTGGTGGGTAGTGGAGCGAGGGAGGAGGATGGCAAGAGGGGAGGAGTGTGGCGGGAGCAGAGGAGGAGGGTGGGAGCGAAGGAGGGTGGGAGAGGAGGAGGGTGGGAGCGAAGGAGGGTGGGAGAGGAGGAGGGTGGTGAGTCACTGAGACTCTGCGGCTGCCTCCTCCTCCTGTTCTGACTGGGGTTCCTCCACCGCTGTTTGCTCCTTCTCCGTTGTTGTTTTTCTCCTCCTCGGCTGCCGGCTGTTGTGAGGAAGCTGCTTCTGCCGTCCTGTGACGGAACAAATGAATCCAGTGTTGACTGCTTGGTGCTACTCTTCTTCTTCTCCTTATAGATCTCAGTGTAACAACCAAGACTGTCACCAATGCTGCGTTGAACCTTTGAGCTACGTTCTCTGTTTGGGTCGTCATCTATGAGGATTTGCATTGCTTGCTGGAACATGTTGAACGATTCTGCCAACCTCTTAGAAGTTAGCGTTTGTTGAGGTTATTCTTCGTCGTCTTCAACGGGACTGTGTTCTGTTAGTTGTTGCAGATCTTCTTTGGTGAGCTCTTCTGTGTGGGATACCAGGATGTCCTCAATATCCTCTGATTCCAGCTCATCAAAGCCTGCCTGTCTATCCAAGCTGAGGATATCCCTATTCACAGCTAGGACCAAGTCCATGAAGCCCGTAAAACTGTTGACGCACTCGGGGCCACAATTTACGCCACACACCATTCAGGCAACTTTCTGAACCTCTTCCCATGCCTTGCCAATGTTTTCAGTTGCATGAAGAATGTTGAAGCCACGCCAATATTCTCGGAACGTAGGTTTATTTTCTCCGTCTGTAGCCTTGAGCAGCTAGGCCATGGCACGGCATATATAATACGCCTTGAATGGGGTGATGACTCCTTGGTCCATAGGCTGCATCAGTGCTGTCGTGTTGGTAGGCAGGAATACAACTTTTACACTGTCATGTAAGTCGTTGAGATTGGGAAGATGAGCTGGAGCATTGTCAAGGATCAGAAGAATTTTGAAGTCAAGGTTCTCCTTGGCACAGTATTCCTTCATTGCAGGGACAGCGTACACTTTTAACCACTGACTAAATATGGCACCGGTTATCCGTGCCTTCTTGTTTGCCTTGTAAATGACAGGAAGGTGATCCTTAGAGTAACCTTTCAGGGCCCGTGGGTTAGCAGCGCGAGAAATCGGCATGGGCTTCAGCTTGAAGTCGCCGGCAGCGTTCGCGCCAAGCAGCAGCATCAAGCAGTCTTTTACCGCTTTAAAATCTGGCGCCCTTCTCTCTTCCTTGGAGATATAGGTCCTCTCAGGCATCCTCTTCCAAAAAGAGACCAGTCTCATCCACATTGAAGACTTGCTTCGATGAGTAGCCTCCTTCCTGGATAATCCGTTTGAATTCTGGCAGGAATGTCTCGGCAGCAACCGTATCTGAACTGGCAGCTTCACCAGTCATCTTAATATTGTGGAAGTTATAATGACGCTTAAATCGTTGAAACCAGCCTCGGCTGGCCGTAAAGGTCTCTTCCTTCGATCCTTCATCCTCTTCTGCCTTTATGTCGTCAAACAAGTTTTTGGCCTTATGCTGGATAACCATAAGGCTCACAGGGGCATTGCATTGGTTCTGGTCCTCCATCAACATAGCCAGTATCTTTTCCACTTTTTCTATCACAGTACTTCTAGTACGAGTTGTTTTAATTGCACTGAGAGTAGTACCGCTTCCAGCACTAACCTTAATCTTGTCAGCGTTGGTCTGGATAGTACGCATCGTTGTGGGGGTTAGACCAAGCACAGCGGCTATGTCAGCAGCACGTTCCCCTTTCTCAAATCGGGTTAATACATCCATTTTCATAGCAAGGGTAATGGTCTTACGTTGCCTCTTCACTACACCAGCATCAGTAGCACTTGATGGGTGCTTGGAAGCCATTTCAAATGGTTAGAGTACAGTTTTAGAGCAAAAGCACACACGAATGATGTGAAGTCGTAACATGAGACTGGCTTGGAGTCGCGAGTGAGGGCAGCGCCCCGAACCGAGAGAGCATAGCACTGCCAGACAAGAGCGGGTGATGCGCCATAGAAAGTAGTCCGTGACGACACAAAACGACGTACGTAGTTAAATGAATTTTTGGCCTCTACGTCGCTAAACTTATGGCGACGTAGTACCGAAACGTTAAGCTAGGACTTACTGTATTTATGTTATACCTTGGCGGGAGGAGGAGGGGGGGCATGTACGAGTATTCATTGTTGGTTGATCATACAGTATTAGTGTTTACTATGTTAAATATTTTGTTAATGATTAATTTGTTATTTTTTGTTGGGTTGCTCTAAAGTGTAAAATTATCCACTGCTGTAAATTTAGGAAATTTTCTCTTTAATTTTGCAAAATCATTTTATCACAATAAGAGAAGATTTTTTTTAATTGTACAGTCACTGAGAAACCATATTAATATATACTCGTATGAGAGTACAGTATACTGTATACAGTACAGTAATTGGGTTTTGAGGATTACTTAGTCGTGAGGATTAGTGTGTGCTGTACTTGTGGGTTTCCAGATAAACTATTTAGAAATAAATATTCTTGTGATACAGATATGGTACTGTACTGTACAGGTACTCCTCGACTTATGACCTACTCGACTTACGACCACCCGGACATAAGACCGCCCCAGTCGTACCAAAAAATTTTCAAATTACGTATTTTCGAGTCCCGACGTTAGTGATTGCGCTGTGTACTGATAAAATTTTTGTTTGTAATTCCCTTTAAAATGGCTGGCAAGCTTAAAAGTGAGAGTTTTGTGGTTCTAAGAAAAAAGAGAGAGACCCACTTTAGATTTTCAATATATTATTTTCGCATTTTCAATTTACGACCTAGATTTGGGTCCCTAACCCCGTCGTAAGTCAGGGACTGCCTGTATTTAGATTTTTCATTATTTTTTGGGGGGTGGGAGGGGAGATTTACATTAAAGATATGAATTAGTTACTAATTTATCTACATGTTAAGAATGTTAAGTTGATTGACGTAGAGAGTAATGTGTTTGTACATTAACAGGTGGATTACTACATGAATTAAGCAACGAAGGTGCCCGCCAACAATTTGAAGTGTTCTTAGAGGAGCACATCCTGCCCCTCATGGTGTTTGCAGCACAACGTGGAGATCGTGAATGCCACATTGTGATACTTCTAGATGATGACACTGTAGAATGGGATGATGACTATCCTCCACAGATGGGAGAGGAATACAGTCAAAGTAAGTATGAATCACCACACATGTTTTTTTTACGGGGAATAGCACACCCGGGCACAGGTCATCGACCCACAACGAGGCCAAGGGGGCGAAAAAATAGGAGTGAAAAGAAATTAAAAATAGAAAAGAAAAAGATTATATTAATCTATACCACGAGGATGCTGGAAAACCAGCTTTTTGAAATGAGACATTGTATGAGTATGGAAACACAGAAGAAGGCAGAGCATTCCACAGTTTGGCTGAAAGAAGGGCGTACTATAACGGGTTATTCTAGCGTGACCGACATCCACAGAGAAACGGTGGGCACCGCGGGCAAGAGGAGTGTTACGAGCCCACAGCTTAGCCGGCGGTACACAGGATGCCAAACCCACCGAAGAGAAAGGGAAGAAAGATTATCAACTGAAGGAGGAGAGTTAGTAAGATGAAATGCCTTTGATTCCACCCTGTCTAACAGTTGGACAGAAGAGCCACCCCCGATGTGAGAGCAGTACTCTAAGTTAGGACGAATGAATCCCTTGTACACTTGATGCAACTGCTCAGGAGTGAAGTAGCTACAACATTTGTACAGCATTCCCAGCTTTTGGTAGGCAGCTTTAGCAATGTTGAGGATGTGTGGCTTCCATGACATATTATAGGAAATGGTGAGGCCTAGCATATCTATTTTAGAATTTGGCAGAATAATAGCATCCTGAAATGTGATTGGTGGGAGATAATCTAATTTGGAAAGTGTGATTGGTAAATACTGAGTTTTATTACTATTGAATTTAACCAAGTTTCTACCTCCCCATTCGGAGATGCTGCACAAATCCGTATTGAGAAATGTAATGATATCAGCTCTAGAAACAGATCTAGTTTGAAAATTAGGGGGAAGGGGAAAATGTGAAGAAGAGTGAAGAGTAGAATCATCAGCGTAAAAATGGATAGAATTAGTCGTAGTGTGAAGTAAATCATTGATAAAAAGAAGGAAGAGAGTAGGTGAAAGAACAGAACCCTGTGGGACACCACTATTGGTAGAGAAAGAGTGAGAGAGCGATCCCTCGACAACAGCTGCCATGGATCGATTCTCAAGGAAGCTAGAAATTAGAAAACAAAGTGGGGGAGAGAAACCATAAGAGGGAAGTTTAGAAAGCAAAGACTTGTGCCATACCCTGTCAAGTGCTTTGGAGTTGTCGAGGGCCACGACGAAAGTTTTCCCATAATCCCAAATAGAGGATGACCAAAGATGTCTGCAATAGGAGAGCAGATCACCAGTAGATCTCGCTTGGCAAAAGCCATACTGGTCATCCAACAAAAAAGAATGGCGTTCAAGGTGACGGAGAAAATGAGAGTTCAAGATAGTTTCGAAAATCTTAGAGAGGGATGAAGTTAGGGCAATGGGGCGATAGTTAGAGGGATTTAAATGGTAACCCTTCTTCGGGATGGGCTGAACCGAGGCATGCTTCCAAGAAGAAGGAAAAGGCAAAAGAGGTGAGCAAGCACAGGGCCCAGAACTTCAGCACACTAACTCAGAACATGAAGGGGGGGTTCTGTCCAGTCCATGCACCTTACTCACATCCAACCAACAACCCTACGAGTGGAGATTATAGGAAAGTGCATAGGTTCAGTAGGAGGAGCAGGATGGATAGAGTTGGAATCATCTAAGTTGGAGTTAGAGGAGAATAAGGTGCCAAAGAGATTGGCTTTATCAGGGGGAGAATTGGCTACAGAGTTATCAGGTCGGAAGAGAGGAGGAAAAGAGGAAGTGCAGAAGTTATTACAGATATTTTTGGTTAAAGACCAGAAGGATTTACGAGAAGAAGAGTTAGTCAGGACAGCGGTCTTTCTTTTTATAAAATTCCGCTTGGCCCTACGAAGAATAGCCTTACAACAATTCCTAGAAGTAATGAAAGAGGTGTGGGTAATAGGAGGAGGTAGTTTCATAGCTTGATATGTGCTCTATCTCTCTCCCTGCATGCAAGAGAACAGGAGCGATCAAACCATGATTGTAAAGTGAAAGTTTTGGTAGAAGATGGGATAAATGCGCTCATACCACCTGTATATTTTCAGCCACCGGCTGCAACTCTATTAATAAACCGTTTATTATTATTATTATAACCCCAGCAATGCTGTCAGCACATACCAAGGCGTCCCGAGTGGAAAAGCAACATTCATCCCAAGAAAAGTTGGAGAAGAATTCTCACAAGGATTGCTTTGCCCTCTGATAGTGCCATAGTTGATGTTTAGAGGGGGTGGAGGAGGTGGTCATGCCCAGTTTGATTTAATAGAAATAAGATTGTGATCAGAAGACCCTAAGGGGGCAGAAATTGAGTATGAATAGTGTGAGGGGTTAGAGGTAAAACCCTTTACCTATTTCTTAAATGCATAGGTCTATTGTGTCATTTTCATCACCTGTAGCAGGGGAAGTAAGGGCTTTCCTTTTCCTTTTTCTCTTATCTGGTTAGAGTTGTTTGAAACTTACTAATACTAGATATCTTCATTTGTGATCAAGTGAATGTCACTAAACTTTATTCACTTTCTTACTGAGGCATAATAATGCTTATACAGAATATTGTTGAGGTGATGGGTAAAGGATAAAGGTCTTAAAGTTAATTTGCTAAAGTTATGTGATTCACCTTGGAAGAGGCATGTGTATGTTTTATAATAATTTCCAACTTCTTAACAAGATGTATATATTATGACAGTATAATATTTCCTTATTTTTTGCCTTTTCTTTTCACAGCCATTTGCTCAACAGCAATGTACCGTTTCTTCAAGTACATAGAAAACAGAGATGTTGCCAAACAAGTACTGAAGGAGCGGGGCCTTAAGAAGATTCGTTTAGGTATTGAAGGATACCCAACATATAAAGAAAAGATTAAGAAAAGACCAGGTAAGAGTAGAGTAGTGTTGGCCTACAGGTCATTCATCAAGTGACTCGTGAGGTTCCTCCAGCAGAACATCTCCAGGATGTTTCAGTACTGTACATAGAAAACTGATTACCTCTAATCAATCTAAATCAAAGCACCAGTTCTGTGCTGTATCGATGATGGAAAATGCTGCATATTTCCTATATTGAAGTCCAGGTTGATGGTGTATTTGTTGGGCTCAGAAACCAAAAAGCTACCACAACTCGTTGTGGTTGTTTTCAAAATAACCAGAAAGTGAAATTTTGCGTTTGAATTTTACCCTAGCCTAACCCAATCCAAACTAACCTAACCTAACCCAATCCAACCTAACCTAATCCAACCTAACCCAATCCAAACCAACCTAACCCAAACCAACCTAACCTATAGCAAAATCTCACTTCTGGTTATTTTGCAAACAACCACAACGAGTTGTGGTAGCTTTTTGGTTTCTGAGCCCAACATATTTATTGATCCTAATCATGTACATTGTGATAGTTTTGGAGGTACAGTACAGGTTGGATCTCTTTGGTCCAACACGAATTTTTCTTGATATACTGTATAAGTTTTTGTTTGGTTTTTATGCTTACAGTACATATTCCCTGGTGCCAATGCCTTAAAATTGTATAATAACACTATTACACGAAGTTACAAAGGCTAATTTACCATGTATACTCAAGTATAGTTTTTATGATGAATTTTTAATGCAAAACGTAGGGGATCGAACTATATATACAGTAGGTGTAATATTTCTGAGGGGTTAAAGTTCATGCATTTCCATGGGTCATTTAGGGTGAATGATAGCCACCTGTACAGCTCTTTTACCCTGGGCTTGCCTACCCTACCCCTAGATTCTTTCTTTATGTTGCTACATCAAGAGCAGAACCTCATTCACTATAAAATGCTGCTTTAAATCTACAAATAATTGATACAAATGAAGATTTACAGTGAATTTTTTATTGTTTGCATATGTTAGTATTGCTGGTGGCATTGTTGCCATGTTAAGCTCTTCAGTGTAACCACATTCCCTTAGAACTCTCGCTATCAGGCCAAGCTGTGAACTGTTATGGTTATTTTTCAACTTCTAATCTCGTGTAGATACAGTAGACAGTACCTGTATATAATACATGTACTCTTCATTTTTTTATTTATTTTTTACTTGGTTACATGCACACACAATCCTCATACAGTGTGTGGGGAAAAAAACTATTATAAGGTTAAAAACATAAAGGAAATAAACATTTCTTAATGTCTGAGTTAGCATGCTGGGTGGGGAAGTGAGAGGGGAACCTGTGTGAGGGAGACCAATTGCTAGGGGGCAGGCAGATGCAGTGTCCTAGCTGGGTTGTGTGAAGCTCATTCCTCTCACTTTTCATTGACCACAAGCTGTCAACATGTGCATTACCTGTATCTCCTTACTCCTGGATTTTTTAGGCAAAATGTTTCCTACACTGTATTTTTAAGTAGACAATTATATTTTGGCCCCATAGTCTTTACACAGTACAAGTTCCTTTAACCAGATATCTCTAAAAACAAAATACAAGAGGTGAGACTTAGTGAAGTGCATAAGGTGAGGTGTTTGGAATGACAGAGGGTGTAAATTGTGGAGTGGTATAATGGATGAATAGAGGTTGGCTGAGGTGGTTTGGACATGTGAAAGGAATGCAGGAGGAGGGTGTGTACAGAGGCAGTATGGCAGATGCATTGGGTAGGAGACTGTTTACTTTGTGGGAGGGAAAGGTTGAACAAAATACATGAAAGAAAGAACAGTGGAAGGGATACAGGGAATAGGAGGTAGGTTGTGATGGAGTAGCCTGGAGGCTCTTCTGTCATGGTCACCTCGTCAAAGAGGAGTTTCTTGGAGGAAAAAAGCTGTGTTCAGTAGATGAGATAAAATAAAAAATATTGTGTATGAATGTGTCGAGTATGTAACATAATTTACATACATGACTGTAATAATGTATTTGAGTAGAGTAATGGGGGAAAAAATATTTCATTACAGGTACCTTATAAAATTGTGGTTAAATAGATATGGAAATTGGTGAAGATGGTTAATCTATGGAAATTTGTGAAGATAGTTAACCTGACACTTATATTTACAGGTGGTCGTGCAGAGGTTATATACAACTATGTGCAGCGTCCATTTATTCGTATGTCCTGGGAAAAGGAAGAGGCAAAGAGTCGACATGTAGATTTTCAGGTAAGTCAGTCTTTCAGCACGTGGAGATTTTGTATTGTTATTGCTTCTGTTTCAAGTTTATCCTGTCATAAACTGTTATTGTTGTGTTTTAATTCCATTAACTTTAAAATTATTTCAGATGGGGTTTGGGAAGGGTAAAGGAACTCAGTATCAGGTTATTTAAGTGAGCCAGAGGTTAAGGTCAAAGGAGGGTTCTCCCTTTTTGTCATTCAATTTTGTGAGTCAGCCTCAGACCATGTCAAGTAATGGAAATACAGTTGACAGACTGGATTAATCAGTTATTATTTATTTGTATCTTTCAGTCTGTTTGGAGTCGAGGAATTATACCTCCAGTATCACAAAAAAAAATCCTCTAAACTTATTCAGATGGGTTGCAATTTCATGTGCATGATCTTACAGTCATTACAACTTCTTTGACCTTCCTTCAGGGTATATCACTGATGTTCATCCATCAAAGATGAACCTGGCATTGACAAAGGTGTTCATCACCATATAATTAAATGAGACCACTGCTTTGGGGGACTGTGGGATGCTCTGGAGCTTGTGAAGTTACTTTTTGACCCGGTTCTTGGGATAAAGGGTGTTTGTCATACTGTTAACTGGTTTAAAGTACAGTCCATGAATTGCCCAATCCACTGTAGTGTTTACTAAAGATCCCTTCCTCCTCCAGCTAAAATGAACTAGAATTGAGGAGCATCATGTTAGGCTTTTAGCTTAACATGCAACAAATTCCTCCATTTACCTTTTCCTCAGATTAGGATGGGTTAAGGTGGGAGAGAAACTTTTTTGTAATTTCAAAATTTGGGGGGATTTTGGGAAAATATTCTTCTTCACATAAATGCGGGGTGCCAACCCATAGACTTGTTGACCGAGTACATGAGTTGTTTAATCTATGCTTGATTATGTAACAGGTAATTTGTATGCTCTGAAACAAGATTATTAAAAGTTAATAAAAATTTTTTTCCAGTGTGTCAAGAGCAAGTCTGTGACCGATCTAGCCGAAGCAACAGCTGACCCTGCGCTTGACCGAGTAGTGACTCTAGATCCCCCACCTGTGGCCATGGGTCATGAAGCACCTGCTGAACCAGTGCTGCACCTGGAGGGTGCTGTGGGTGGAGGCGATGGTCACCAGGAGGAGGGAGCTTTTGGAGGAGCAGTAGGAGGACCACAAAATCCACCTCAGCCAGTTAACGAATCATACCCAGAGGTTGGTTGGAATTGGTGTGTGATGAAATGAAATTTTTTTGTTAAGCTTGTGTTTATTTAAGAATAAAACAAAATCATCAGAATGATGTATTGTAATCTTATTTTTTGCTGGTTTTTAAGGTCATTCATGAACATTCCTTAATTTTTTCTCCATAGTATTATACAATACTGTATTGTAGTTTTGTACTGTAATGTAAATTGAAATTTTGTAGTTTGCTTAAAAGGTGCAGAAAAAGAGAGAATGTGTATATCTCAAAGAGTGTAGGTATTGAAGGAACATAATATAAGGGAAATATTTTATGCAAAGTTAAGAAGAGTAGGATCGGCTAGCGTCAGTGTGAGAGGCAATGTACCGAGATGCTGGGCCAAATTAAAGAATGTTTTGTTTCGTGTGGTTGACAAGATGTATGGCTGGACAAAGGGCCCAGCCAGGTACAGTGGCTATGCAGTAATAGATGCAGTCATGAAATTATGAAGTGGACAGTGACAAAAGAGAAGTAAAGATTGTACAAGGCCATAATGATGGATGGTGACAAGGAGGAGTACAGGGCCAGGAGAGAAGTTTACAACCTAAGAAGCATAAGGAGGATGCATTTGTGGATTCTAAGAGGTGAAGTAGACAGAATAGCAAGGCAAATAGTGGGCATAAAGAAGGACATATAGTGAGCAGTGTGTGAGAAATGACTATGGTAGAGTGGTTGTTGATAATGAGGAAATCAAGGATGCTTAGAAAAGACTATGTGATAGACTACTGAATGAGGAGTATGAATGGGATAGTGGTAGCTTAGGAGCAGCAGACCTAGTACAGGAACCATGACCAAGGATTGAAAGAGAATGGTTGAAAGTGATTGAAAAAATGAAGAATGGAATAGCTACAGGTACCTATGGGATAGATGATGTTGGTGTATCAGTGGTGACTGAATTGATTATTGTAATAATGATAGACTGAAGTTGTTGTATGCTGATGACTTAGTGCTTACAGCAGATATTATGGAAGAGGTAGTGGAGAAATTTAAGAAATAAAATGATGGAATGGAGTCAAAGAATTTGAGAGTGAAAATGGGAAAAACAAAAGTATTGGTTAGTGATGTGGGTGAAGGACTCATGGTGTAAAGTGGCAAATGGACAAGTGCTTTCTACAAGAAAGTTTTGTCAACAACTGACTTATGTGCGGTGAGTGTGGAAGGTAGGTACACTTGAGGTGCAATGGTGTAAATGGCAGACTTTAGGATGTTGCAGACTTTTAAATATTCTTAACAAGGCTGGAAAACTCAACATTGAGGATATATCCCTGGACTGTCAGTGAGTTCTGCTACCTGGGTGACATGATCAGTGCTGGAGGTGGTGTTGAAGCTAGCTCATTTACAAGAGTGGATGGAGGAAGTTTAGGGAGTTGTTGCCTTTATTGATGGCAAGAAGACATTCTCTTTGCATGAAAGGATTGATGTATGCAACTGGCATGAGAAACGTTTTGTTGTGTGGCAGTGAAACATGGACAGTAAAAGAGGATGCCATATGCAGACTTAAGCAAACTGAAATGAGAATGGTGAGATGGATGTGTAAAGTGATACTGAAAGATAAGAAACCCTGTTCTGAGCTAAGAGGATGGCTGGGTATTGAGAGTATTGGTGAGATTTTGCAAAGGGGTAAGCTGAGATGGTTCAGGCATGTGGAGAGAATAGAGGAGACTAATTGAATCAAGAGATGCAAGAATCTGATTGTAGCAAAGGAGTGGAAATGGGGGTAGGCTAAGAATAACATGGGAAAAAGTTTTAAGAAATAACCTCTGAGATAGAACCTGACGAGAGAAGCTGCAAGAGACTGCAACATGTACAGTAGCTGAAACCAGGTAATCATGATTAACTCGTGCAACCATTGAAAATACAGTAGAAGTAAAACAGATGACGATGCGATTCATACGGATGATAAAAATATTATTGATACTTCCTTTTTCTCTTTAAGGTACAGTAGGGTCTCAGAGTACACGAGGGTTATGTTCCTGGGATCCCCGCGTAAGTGCGAATTCGTGTATAATCGGGTCTCCCCTGTATATATAACGTATAATCCCTTTTTTATACTAAGGTAACAACAGATGCATAACTTCAGGGTTAAATATGCCACTCCTTATTAAGTCAATATCTTGACTTTCTCTTCAAAAGTTCTCACAGTAGAATATGCACTTCTTTCATTTTCTCACTCTCACCACCATGAGCACTACCACTAATTTCCCTTTTAGGGGTCAGGATTGCGGTAAAACTTACCGGTAAAGAAAAACTTTGCGAATGCCTAAGGGATGTTCACGGAACGAGTGCAAGAGAGAGAAGGATGTCTCGGCAATAATTTAACCTACGGTACCATACAAACTCCTTGCATGTACCCAACGAACACAAATACTGTATTAAACCTACGGTACCATTTGAACACTTTAAATGTACAAACACTCAACTATCCTCTGAGCGATGCGACTCTTTTCCATCCCACTGCCTCCACATATACATTCACTCAACACACAGCCATGCTCTTCATTTTTCTTATACAGTAGTTTTAAATTATTATTTCTTCATTTCTAAGCCACATTACAGTATTGTAATGAATTTTTTTTTCTTAAACGAGCACGACAAGTGATAAACACGCCGAGCTAGTAAGAGAAGCCGAGTGGGTTGGCGAGAGTGAGACCCAAGCATAAGGGCAGTTCAGGTCAGATGCATATATGCTGGGTTGCATACTATGGATACACGTACTCTGCAACCCTACTGTACTTAATTCAAAGATGACTGCTTTATCTATTTGGTTGTTTCTGCCTGTTGATATCCTTTAAGGGCTTTCCAATGTGTTTATCTAAATACAGTGGTCCCTCGATTAACGAAGGGTCTAATTAACAAAATTTTGGTTAATGAATTAGCTCCCATAAGGATTTTCAATTCCATTAACGAAAACCTTACGAGAAACACACTTTGTTGTGTGCATCAGCCGATCGGCTAGTCCGCCAATACAATATAGTGCTGAAATTATTATGAAACATGAAGAAGGCATTAGAACCAATGCACTCTGTAAAGAATATGGCATGTCATCATCGACTGCCTCTACAATCAGCTGTTCGATATGTAAACAAAGCTGCCAGGAATAAGACATACACACCTCAAAGTGAGTTAAAATACAGTATTCTATTGTTTTTTTATTTATTGTTATACAGTATACTGTGCAGTCCAGTATTTAGTTTATATTTAATGTTTTGTTAATTCTATTACCGGTATACAGTACTTTGTACGTACTTTTTCTGTGAGTTGGAACCAATTACCCAATATCCCATAGAAATAATAGATTCAGTTAACGAACGACTGTGGAACCAAATGTGTTCGTTAATCAAGGGACCACGGTACAATACTCAGCTTTCTTCATTAATTTTTATACTGTACAGTATATGCCAGTACTGTACCATGCTGTAGATGATTTTTTTTTGTAATCTAAAGGTCTTAATAATAAATTTGGGATAGCATTTTTACTGCAGTTTTTTTTTTATTATTGTAGTGTATATGAATATATAATTTTAGGTGTGTGCTCATGAATTTACATAATTAATTTGTTTTTGTAATTTATAAGAAATAGTATAAACTTATATTTAGGGATGTTCACTGTTCCTAATACAAAGATAAATTAAGGATTTTCCTCAACATAATGATGGTACAGAGGTTCATAGACTCACATTTATAGGTGAGTGGTGGGCATGAAGAGGCAACATGAAGGAGAGCGCTAATAGCTCCAAGACCTCACTTCCTGCATAATCTTACCACATCAACACCCCTGCTGTGGAGGTCTTTGCCCTTCAGTAACCCCATTTCATCTGCTTCCTCTGCCATTGCGCCTCCTCCTCCTCACCATGATGCCTCGCCACAAAAGCTACAAAAAGGTCCCAGCACAAACTTTTGGTCATGTTTGTTTTGTGGTTGTTTTCTGACAAAACTGCCAGCATATAAGGACATGCTGTTTAAAAGTTCATATGACCGTTTGTGATGTCTATAGTGATGAGCCTTCCAGTTAGGCATGAAAAGTGTGAAAACTATGATTGTTATTTTACATGTTTCTGTATATACTATGACTTCTCTTAGGTCAGAAATTTAGAATGGCTAAGCTTTGATACTTATGTCTTGTAAATATACAGAAAGTAATTGCAGACTGCATAGATCTTGCATACTTATCGATTGTTATATTAGAATTGTGTGAACAAGGAATATTGTGTGCAATTCATCAAGGATGCGCAGCTACGAAAGAAAAGCTTTTTTATGTTTGCCTTCATATCTTGGAAGTACTGTACTGTCTTTGATATAGACATCCATGCTTCCTTTTCATCTGTAATAGTTGTATTTATATGGCATGACAAGCCATTGCCTTATGATGTCATGTAACAAGTATTATTCATAATGGTTTGGTGCTTTTGGTAAATTGTGCATGTAAGTGAAACATTGTTCCTTTTACTTATAGGTAAGGTTTACAGTGTATATTGATCAACACATGACCAATAATATCGTTCTTCTCTTGTTATCTTTACAGTTGTTATACAAACTTGGGCCTTAGGTAGTTCTTGAATGAGGGTCATGGTTTAAACTTAATTTATAAACTGATCACAAAATTTATTGGTGACGGCATAAAACCATACATACAGTTTCAAAGGTAATTCATATCAGTTTTTATAAATGTAAAATATTGCATGCAAGTTATCTTCATGACAGAATAATTCATTACATCACATGAAATTTTTAGCCCACATAAGTATTGCCAAAGGCTCAAGCCCCCTATACGATCACTTAGCCATTAATTGTGATTACGTCATATCATACTGAGACATGTAATTTTTGGGTATATTGTAGAAAAATATTGTATGATTTGTAGCCTTGATACTTGTTGAAGGAAAGGTCAAGATGAATAACTTTTGTATTTTGGTAATATGAATGTTAATGATAGGTGCATGGTCAGTTGAACATTACTTTGATCATTTGTGATGGTGTTTTAATGGATTAATGCCTAGAACTTAAAAATAAATTGTCACAACATTATTAATAAATACTCAATAAGGGGAATGTTTCACTTCAAAGCAAACTGAAATTTAAAAGACAAATTAATATATTAGGTAATGAAGTACGAGTGGAATTGGGATTCGTTTGTGAGTGTACGTCTTCATTTCATAACTGCATCTTAGTTCTAACTGATGTGTTTGTTATCTCATATGCTTTTTTATTGGCTCATGTTATCACACTGAAAGTTCTCCACTCCAGTCAGTTGTGAAAGAAATGAAATAGAGTATGTTTTTTGTGTACTGTATATGATTATCATAATTTTTTTGTATGTTTAAATAACTTTCAGAGAAAATGTGTGTTCATGTGTGTCTGTCTGTCCCGTCCATGCATCCACTCACACAGTCACTTGTGAATGCTTATGCATTTTTGTATGCATGAGCATACAAACCAGTATGTACTCCAAGCATGCATCTATTGTTTATATGTGTGCAAGTATAAAACTATTAATTCTGCAGTAGAAAGTGAAGAGAATTATGATTCTTTCAACAGTACTGTAAAACAAGGGAAAATGCTGTCATGACTTGTGGAGCAACAGTTCATTTTCAACAAAAATAGCAGATATAAAGACAATGCATGAATGATCAGGCATAACCCTTAATAAGAATGAAAAGTCAATGTTTGGTATTAAATTAGGGAAGAATCTGTACTATGATCAGTCTTCTATCTATGATGTGTAAAGAAAAGTACTGCACTATGCTATTGTAGATTATATAATACAATACACTGACTGTGTATAAAGGTTATGACTACCTTATATATTTAAGTGACTATAAGTAACAATATTATTGGGTTGTGATGTAATCTTGACCAGTAGCTTCTTGGGTGATTATCCATAACCTTAGTCACTCTTTTACTCACATGTATACAAATTTTGTAATGATGTATAAATTTGGAAATCGAAGTCTTGTTTTTTTATTTATGTTTATAAATCTAAACAGGGTAATATTGTTTATACTGTACCATAAATAGTATTAATATTAGTTTAGATTGTGTGAATGACAGTAACATTTAATAAGTTTTTCCCCTTTTATAATGTCATCACTCAAAAAGAAAAGTCATATCTACAGCAAAGCACATATTAAATCCTGTCCAGCCATACTTCTCAGTGATTTAAATTTATGGTATTATCAGATATAAACCAATATTTTTTATTTTTTAAACAAATTACCTTGATTACTGTGTGTGTTTGTGTGTGTTGTATGCGTGTATATTTTGGAGAGTATGGTTTGTAGAATTTGAACTGGATATTTCTACTGAAATGAAATTTGGGAAATGTCTTGAAAACCAAGTGGCTTTTATATATGTATCTCAAGATAGAAGCTGTACAGCTCAAAGGATTTTGGTTATTCAGTTGCGGTTACCAATTTATACTCATAGCATGTGTTGTACACCACATTGTCTAAATTTTTGTTTCCTATATATATATATATATATATATATATATATATATATATATATATATATATATATATATATATATATATATATATATATATATATATATATATATATATATATATATATATATATATATATATATATATATATATATATATATATATATATATTTCATGTAGATCCACAATGAAAACTTGGATAAGATAAATCTTGATAAAATCACATGGGAAAAGGGAAACAATAGAGCACCTTAGCTTTCGTCTTTATTCAAGATGTCTTGAATAAAGACGAAAGCTAAGGTGCTCCGTTGTTTCCCTTTTCCCGCGTGATTTTATCAAGATGTGTATATATATATATATATATATATATATATATATATATATATATATAATTTTTCTAGAAATTCACTTTTTCTGTTGTAGTGTCTGCAACAAGATTACTGCTTTGCCATCTCCATTGGTTTTGGGAAAGAAATTATTGCCATTGTGGTTCACTTCTTAGAGTTTGCCTAAGCGACTCACACATCGCCAGTGCCATCATTAACTCTTTATTGTCCTTGGGTGGTGTAACTGACTCAGGGGCAGGTGAGGAAAAATTCTCACCAACCATTGTTTATTAGATTCACTAATAGGAGTCTTCATCTTTAAAAGTAAACAGTGAAATTTATTACACTGAAGACTTTGTTGCCCCTGGCCAGATACACTCCCACTCTGAACTCCAGAAATCATCTCGATCAAGGGCCTCTAGTACAGTTACTGACCTGTAGGTTGTTATAAGGAGAGAACTAGATTTTTTCTTATCAATTTTTCTAACATGTGATAATGGAATCATAAAATGAGTTCTTAATAACTCACTATGGTAATAGCAATGCTGGATGTGTTTTATTTCAAACCTTAGGGAATAGTTCAAGATTGAGTGCATTAACAGAAAACGAGTTTGACACAGGTACTAAACCCAGTTGGTCACCTACAGAATCACAAATAAAGGAGAAGGAGAGAGTGTCCTTTTCTCCAGGTGATGGTTCTGAGGTCAGTTTCATATAATACTTCTACTTTATTGTCTGCCACACTCTCAAACTCATGGCTATTCAGGAGATGCTGTTTTTCCATTTTTTTTTTTACGTTTTGTCGGCTAATTTTTGTACTTTTGCCCACTTTTTCCGCGTGCTCTTGGGTTTGCTGAAATAACCTTCATTCTTTCCACTTGTTTACTTCTTAGCCGGTTATGACTGGAAATGTATTGTAGTAACTTATGCTTCTGTGGGCTGGCCAGTGGTATTCCCTTAAATTCTCATAATTCATAAGGTCCAGAGCCTCTATTATTTAGAATTATGGAGATTTTACAGGAAATGTAAAAGCATAGAAACACACAATATTGATGTAAAGTACACAGACTTATATCTGATAACCATATTATTGTACAGTAGAACGTCGATTTAAAATTATTGATTTAAAGCTACACCCACAATTAAGGACAATGTTTTAATTTAAAGCGAATCTCCTATTTCGCATGAGTCAATCTGGTGCATCGCATTTAGAATTTTGCGCCTAATGTTTCTCTGGGTACACTACACTATCCTAAGGGCAAAGCTGTACTGTACATGTACTCAAAATAATGTACTAAATGATTACTAAAAAAACTTTCTAGTGCAAACTATAGCATGTTTATATTCAAAATAATCATTATCTTATAAAAATTCCAGCAATGTAATTTATATTCTCCCCGGGCACTTCTGTGACATTTTACAAGCAAAAAACACAAACTCAAGCTAAAGGACATAAATAAACAAATAAATACTTCACTAGACCTTCAGCGCCAACTGTCAAACATGTCACTTCCCTCCTCTCTGTCCCCCCCCATCTTCCCAGCCAGGGTTTGGTGTTTAGGCTTAAAGTTTTTATCTTAATGTTAGGAAAATATAATTTGTATTGCTGGAATCCTTGCAAGACAGCGAATAATTTGAATATAAACGTCATATATTTTGCACAAGATAAAAATTTTTGCTCTTTGTACTAAAATTCTTAAAGTAGAACTAAAATTTGTATGTCTAATCCGAACTATAGTATGTTTATATTCAAATTAATCACTATCTTATAAGAATTCCAGCAATGTTAATTATATTCTCCCATGTTAGTTCAGTGACATTTTATAAGAGAAAACCTTAGTCACTCTTAAGGACAGATAAATAAATAAGCACTAGACCTTGGCATCAACTGTTAAACATATCACATCGCCTCCCTCCCTCCCCCCTAAGCTTCCCAGCCAGTGAACAGACCATAACCATCCCTTAATTTTAGCTGTGTTGATTTATGAGTGTTTGTTTTCACAAAATACTACAAAAAACAATGTTTTGTTTATTCAAAGAGATGGGCTGAGGTGTATCTGGGTAGACTCTCAGTCTTTTTAGTATTTTGTGTTTCTCTCAAGAACCAAACTAAATTATTCCATTGAAACAACACTTCGATTTAGTGAGAATTCGGTTTAAAGAGACCTCTTTTGGAACGTATGATAAACATTACCTTTGTGTAGTGATATATAGGAATATGAAGTTTAGCTCAAGTATGAACAAACTGCCAGCACAGGGAAGATGTACTAGCTCAAAATAACTACTGTACTGCCAAGGAAACAAACTGCAGTACGAACCAAAATTTTATTTTTCTTTGATGGGTCATGGCTTTTAACATAGTCCAATCAATTTATAAGGCACTTTTATTTTCTAAACCTTAAGCTGGGGATACATTGATAGACAGCTCAAGACTGAAAAGGGTTAATACCTCCCAGTGCTTTTTCAAGACCAATGAATGCTACAAACTTACTTTCCCTTTTCTAAAATTGTTTACTCTTCTTTAATGCAAATGCTTGTTTAATCTATCTACATAGCCTCTTGTTTTCCTGAATCCTAACTCACTCCTCTATGGGGATGCCACTTTTAATATTTTATTTGGCTCAGAGGGGAAACCTTACACAAGGGGTTAGGCTAAATATTCTGTTATTGAAAAAACCTCTCGATGATAACCACTACAATTTCTCTGCCATACCCAACAAATTTATTTGCTGATCTTTCGGTACTCCTCTGTCATGCATAGTCTATACAGGTATACTGGGTTCATTTATCATCCATTCTATCACCTTTCTTCCTCCTACTCTTAACACTTCCATAGTGACAATATCCACCCTTGGAGTCTTACAGCTCCTCCACAAACTTATATTTTTATTTTCACTTTAATTTTGCTCATTCCAACACATTGCTTATCACTTACTATACATTAAGAAGTAGAGTTATTTACGTCTTTTACTTTCTCCGCTATCTACAGTACTATATATCCTATCTTTCATTCATAGGTACCATTATGTTTGTTCTCTGGACTTTTATACTCTGTTCAGTTCCCTTTGTTAATAATTTATTGTTTTCTTCAAGACCTTATGATACTCATTTTCTGCATCTTTCACATATTTTCCCAATGGTTCTCCTTCCTTTCATCATTTCCCTATTTGCAATTGATGCTCGTATGCCCATATCTTATCCTGAACTAGCACATCCTGTCTCTCATCTTATCATTCCCACTTCATGCTTTAGAATACTGAAAAAGTCAATTATACTGTACCCATAAGTTTTAAATCAGCTTTATATACACTTTCTTAAAAATATAGACTATCTTTACTGTATAAACACTCGTTTTCACTTTCCAAAAAACATGTCATTTGACGTAAAATATACGCCTGAACTAATACCTTGCATTTCGGCATTTGGAGTAAAATTTTTATATTGTGAACCCACATCATTATTTTGCATGGAAATTCGTACCTTTGTATGAAATTTGAACAAAATCTAAAGTATGAGTAATTAGTGGTAATTAATGATCTTTGAAATAATTAGATATTTAGAATATTTAAAGTCAGTTATGCTGTGCCCATATGTTTTAAATCACCTTTACAGGGGGTGCCATTCTTGAGGACGTTCTTAAGTCAGAACACATGCTATGTGCATACCGTACTTATAGAACAATGTTTAAAATCCCACAACATAAAACCTCAGTCCTTATATACATCTAAAATCACTTAATTTAAGACAAAAGAAATAGAATGACAAAATACAGTAAATGAAAATAAGTCCTCGGGTAAATAAAATACTTTACCTGTACTGTAAATTTCAAGTTTAACCCCGTTTGTATCGGCGGATGTTCGTAAATCGGGGACCTCCTATATATACATTTTCTTAAAAATAAAGGCATCTTTACTATTTAAACTATTTAAACACATTAGTTTTCACTTGAATGTGAGTGGCTGTTTGAAATACTCTAAATGTGATTGGCTGTCATTGTTTATATCTGCCACATGACAGCTGATGAAGCGACTGTAAGAATGCTATCTAAACTTGTCTATATTTAGAAAACTAAGCATTTGCACAAGAAAATTAATGAAAGTGAAAGTAATCTGGGTACAAAACTCTAAAAACAATCCCCATAATTACCGATCAATGACAGTCGTGTGTCATATACAGTATTGGCCTAAAATAAAATATCAATACAATAATATTTTTCGGTTGATTTTATTGGATTGAATGACACTAACTTAATCTGTGAGCTTCAAGAATGGTCGAAGAAATGGCTTTTATTATTCAATGTCAAGGTGTAAGAGGATGCAACTGAGACATACCAATAATGAGGAGGCATATCACATGACCCAACAGGATGAAGAAACTGCATTAACAGAGGCCGAATGTGAAAAAGACCTGGGTGTGTATGTTGACAATGAACTGAAGTTCCCGGGCCATTGTGAGAAAAAGGTGAATCAAGCAACATAACGGGTAGGTCTTATAAGGGGGTCTTCAGATATTTAGACAGTCCGTCCTTGTAACGATCTTCAAGAGTGAGGTGCTTCCCCATCTGGAGTACTGTCACCCTATCTGGTCCCCCGAGATATGCTAGAGACTGTCAGCTAATTGAAAATGTCCAAAGGAGGGCCACCAGACTGGTGCCTGCACTACAGCCCCACAGCTCCCCAGAGAGATTAGAATGCCTACATCTACCTAGTTTTTACTACAGACAGGCCTGGGATGACCTAATTAGGTTAATATTCATTAAATGACTGCACCAAGAATTTTATATTTGGTTATTCTAGGATAGTAAAAAAAAATATGAAAATATTTCTTTCCTTGGGCAAATTAGTATTAACAGATATATGTCAAACATTATTAGAAATAAACCAGGTCAGCTGATGTTCTTCCCGCACCTAGTGCCACGGTCATTAAACAAATATTTCCCCCTAATTGGCGTGTATAAACATCATCGAAGAGGGCGGTAAATTTGGGTTATTATTTAGTTGTCAACTCCTAACTGAATATCGAGTCATATACTGTAAAGGAAAAAAAAATAATCGAGTCATATATAGGAAAAAATAATAATTTATTCTATAACGCTTCCATCGGAAAGTTTTAATTTTCGAGTTAGGTGTATTTTAAATTTTTTCATAATATTTGACCAACCCGCGTGAGTGTTGATGTGACCTAATACAGCTGTGTGCTAATGAGCGCAATTCTCAGGCAGTTGGAAAATGACATCTGCATGAGGAAGACGTACATTGGCTGTCTCATTATTAAGCGTGTTTTGGACAATAAAGCAGCAGCCGTTGACATTTCTAGGGGTCACGGTGTTCTTGTGACCAGTTAATAGGCAGTATAACACACAGTATCCATCTTGAAACTGATCGGGAATCGAAAGTTACGCTCATTGGCGCTCGAGTTTTGTCACATAAACTACTCAGTTGAGTGACCTTACTTGGAGCTGGCGGACCCTCGCCCCACAAGGGGTCACAGCTCAAGATTGAAGAAGCCGCAGGTCCAGAAAACCGTGAGGGCAAACTTTTTCGGAGTGAGGGTTGTAAACTCTTGGAACAATCTACCAGAGAGTGTTGTGACGGCACCGAGTGTGAGCTCTTTCAAGACCAGACTTGACCAACACTGGAGCAGGTTCAGGTACATTCAGGAGCCGGTGCATGACCAGTACTTGCCAACAGTGTGTGACAGAGACGTGACTGATCGCCCGGGCGGCTAGCGAGCCTCACACACAGTCTCAACTAGTGCAGTTTCTTCATCCCGTTGGGACATATGATACGCCTCCTTACCGTTGGTACGCCCCAGGTGCATCCTGAAAGTGGTGAGGAATCGGTTAAAAAAAATGTAAAAGTATATGAAAACTCCCTCCATTAGTCGTTAAGAAACTCGCAAACATTTTTCAACAAAGCTCTCCATAAAGCTGAAAAAAACTCACTGAAATTATTCGAGAAGTTAATTTATTATGAGAATACAGTATTCTTATTTTATCATCTCTTTTTGCATTGTATTTTTTCATAAAAGCGAGTCTTACTGAAAATATAATTTAAATCTTTGTGCTTTACAAGGAAATTAATGTAGAATACTGTGAGGATAAATAAAGTTGTTTTATAGTGATCCCGAGACACATCCGTACACAACAGTAAACAAACTCCGCCTCAGTCAATGAACAACTCTACCATTGTGTCAAGTCTTGTTAGATTGAAGGCATACATGGTGGATATGTTCGAAGGTAAATATAATTATTTTAAACGAATTTTATAAATGAATGTTGTAAGATAGTGTTAAATTGGGAGTTTGTGTTGGAAGAGGATAAGATGACTCACTCTTGGGTACTTTGTGTGTCTGTCTGTGGACTGTCACTACTCATGTATGGTACTTATTCACATTTTTAATTTGTGAAAATGTACACTTTAATACACTGGTGTATATATACTTTTTTTTTTACCTTGGTGAATTAAAAAAAATCAGTTAATGCTGAATTACTTAACCATTGTGTCCTATTGCATTATTTCCGATTATAGGAAAAGTAATCAGAGACGTGACCGATCGCCCAAGCCGATCAGTGGGGAAGAGAGTAAAAGTAAAAAGAATTAAGTTTAAAATGTGAAAGGAGACAAACATGAATTTACATTATAAATTATGGGGTCCGACTAATTACCCAAATGTACCCAGATGTAGCCGCAATGAAGTCAATTGATGGTCCTACAAGAATAAATCGGACTGCCAATCACTTCTCGACTAGTATTTGGTGTCACGAAGTCACAAAAAATTGGTAAACTTAATTTAATCTGAGTTAATAGATCGAGTGCATGTACCTAACCTAACCTAACCTCGACTAGTATTTGGTGTCACGAAGTCACAAAAAATTGGTAAACTTAATTTAATCTGAGTTAATAGATCGAGTTCATGTACCTAACCTAACCTAACCTAACACAACTCAGATTAAATTAAGCTTACCAATTTTTTGTGATTTTATGACACCAAATAATAATCGAGAAGTGATTCACAGCCCGATTTACGCTTGTAGGACCATCATTTGACTTCATTGCGACTACATCTGGGAACATTTGGGGAATTACTCGCTCCCTCGGTACATGCACGTGATCTATTAACTCAGATTAAAGTAAGTTTTCCAATTTTTTGTGACTTTGTGACACCAAATACTAGTCGAGAAGTGATTGGCACTCCGATTTATTCATGTAGGACCATTATTTGACTTAATTGTGGCTACATTTGGGTAATTAGTAGGACAGTAAATTATGTATAACGTGTTACATTTCTATATGGACAACACTACCGATTTGCATGTGAAGTGTACTACTGAGCAGCTGTTGGTTTTATTTTTTAAGAGCCACAGGTGGTCCTGTAACTGAAAATGAGCTGTTTTGGGTAACGTTACTCCTAAGCCATCCACGATTTCGCCAACAGCACATTACTATTCTGCCATAATTTTTGCTTCTGTTGGAGAAATGTTTTTTTTTTTGGTTAGGACATGTATTATATAACATGGTAATGCGATTCAGTTCACCCGTTTGCTACAACTCCTTCCTTCCATGGCTTACTGACGACTACTTGTGAAAATTTATGTTTCGACTATTTTAACTGATAAATTTACCAACAATAATACTTGTTTAAAGTGGGCAGGGCTTTGAAATTGAGGGAAAATGTGGGATAAAAAGACAAACTTTTGAAAACTGTACATAACCTTTCCTAAACCTTTAAAAATCCTAAAACTATAAAAAGCTTGCCGAATTCATGTTTTTGGTGTTTAGTATGTGATGGTGTTGTTTTCGGTGTTCAGATAAGGAGGGATCCATAAACTCAAAGCTGATTCTTAAAATTTTTACAAGTTAGGAAAGGTTAGGTAAGGTTTTTAAAGGTTTGTTTGACGAGCCATGGGAGGAGGGTGTAGCTCGAAAGTGGTTGGAATCGCATTACCATGCTATATAATACATGTCCTAACTCCGAATAGAAGACAATAGAAGCAAAAATTATGGCGGAATAGAGATGTGTTGTCAAAATTGTGGACAGACTAAAGAGTAACGTTAACCCTATCATTTTTGTGCTACTTGCTATGGGTCTGGTGCTGTAGCAGATTAGAAAAAATATGCAGTATATAATTGAACTCCTCATATTGCAATATAAGGGCCAACAATTTTTATTAGGAAATATCTTATGAAACTTTTATCAGTCTTCTTACTCCTGTTATAATAATAAACAAATGCTTTTTAACCTCACGACAAAGATGAAAAGTGCATGAGCAATAAGTTTTAGGATATAAATTTTGCAATTTCTTGTTAGTTTTCTTGTCAGATGCCATATTGTTTTCATCTTACATTGAGGACATATAGGAAACTTTACATTGATTAATTGATGTTGTTGGAAATCATCACATGTACAATGAATTACAGTATAGGTATGAACAACACTTCTCATTTAACTAGCTAAATGAAAAGTGTTATCCAAGTTTAACACAAAAAGTTAAAAGACTTACATGTATTTCCATTGCGGTCCTCCAAAAAAGATTCAGTATCATGATAAAAGATGGAAAGGTAAAACATTGACCATATCAAACAGTGACTACTACTGTATTAATTCCAGGTTGATGGGAGAAAACCACTACATGACCGTGGTCAAATAGGAAATCTTAAACTCTCTTCTCATAGGAAGAAATGCCAAAAGTTTGAAAAAGATGAATAGAACTGCTAGAACATAATTCGTAGTGTGTCACACTTTCAACTACGGTACTGTATACAGGTAGTTCAATGTTGAATCATGATGGGGGGAAGGTCATTCACTGTCTCAGGCAGTGCTGGATTTGAAGTAAATTGTGATTAATGAGAATTCTTTATGTATACATAACAGTAGTATAGTGAATTGTAACTGGAGATATTTTGTCTCATTCCAGTGATTTAGAGAGAAACCGGCTCATATTGACAACTACAGGACTACACCAAGATGTCTCGACCAGGATATTTGTCAGCCTTCGGTAATGTTGAACTTGTCTGTCTCGAAGATGTTGTGCTTGGTATTAGGTAACTGCAATAATTTTCTTATCAGACCTTACCTACTTAAGGGTAAGTATAAGTAAGTATAAGGGTAAGTATAAGTGAATTGTAGTTAGAAAGTAAAAAAGAAGTTAACGCTTGAAAGAGTTACCATAGAAATTTTAATATTTAATGCTCTTCCATGACCTCACATTTATCTTAACCCTTAAGCCCCGGGTTAGGTTGCTGCTGGCAGTACCGCCCCCCCCCCTCCCCGTGGGGTTAAATCGAGAAAAAAATCCAAAAATAATTTAAAAAAAAGTGGTGGGAAAATAGGCGGATGTTCTGGAACGTCACCTGGGGTACGCTAGTCAGACGTTCTGGAATGTCACCTGGGGCCTAAGAGTTAAGATCTGTCTCAGCTAGACGGGATTCATATTTATCTGGGGCAGAATAAGCATACAACATGTGTAATAAATAATGTTTTGTTAATTATTCCCAAGTCCATAATAAATACAAAAAACAAAACTTGAAGCAGTGGCTCGAAAAATTCATGCACAATATTGCCACAAGGAAGGTAGAATAATAATTGATGTAATTATATAGAGCACACATTAGGATACTATAACAATGAACATAATACTAATAAGGTCAAGCAGAACATTGTGGTTCTCAAATGAACTCCACAGCTGTATACCACTCATCATATCTCTCATTTGTCTCACTTTAACCTTTAAGCCCCAGGTTAGGGTGCCGCTGGCGGTACCCCCCACGATGGGGTAAATCGAGTAAAATAAACTTTTCCAAAAATAATTTTTAACCTTCTTAAATGATAAAACAATAAAAAAAGAAGTAAGAAAAACTATATATTAACTCTCTAGAAACTTCCCTGGGGAAGGAGGGGAGGAGGGAGATAGAGGACAGCTTGTTATGACAGCAAGCGCTCGTGGTCACCTCCGCACTTAGCAGCTATTTTAGTTTGCCTTTGTATCTGGGATGGCCAGTAATGAATATATAAACTGATCATAATACTTATTTCCTATAAATAATTAATTTAGAATATTTTATTTGCATTATTTTTCATAAAAGTGCTCAGCAACACACACGCAGTCAGTCGCCAGGCTGTCTTTGTGTTGGTAGAGCAAATAATGCATAAAATAATTATCGTAATAATGATTCCACAAATAAATACATTTATAACATAATCATAGCATTATTTTCCAGTAATACTACACTGCAATACAACTACCCTACATTTAGCAATACTGTATTACTTTGATACAACATGATAAAATGGACAAACATTGAAAATGAAACAAACAAAAGTAGTTAATTACGTTCAGGAAGCTTCCCTGTGGCCGTGGGTGTGGCCTGACAGGCAAATATAGTCACACTGGAACCTGATAACCCGTGCTGGGCATTTAAACTGTTTTGGGAAAAGGCACGCTTTCTGGAACGTCACCCAGGGCTCGCCTATCGGGCGTTCTGAAATGTCACCTGGGGCGTAAGGATTAAAGTTCTATGCAGTGGTGCGGGACCCCACACACATGCAGTCAAGCAAAAAGTAGAAAATGTAAATGCAAAAGCCTTCAAATGCAGAAGATTCCTGGGTATCACTAGAGACGTAAAAAGACAGTACACATACTGTACAAAATAGATTTTATCCAGCCATGCAAACAAGAACATAAACTTATAATATTTTGTAAAATTTAAAATACTCAAGTTTTGAGAAAAGAAGAAGAAATACAGTACCGTAATGTTCTACTTCCATAACAGTAATGCCACAAGCTCACAAAGTAAACAGTGTCTTGCAAAACAGACAAAAATGGACACATACAAATCTACTTTAGTAGAGTAATGAAGTACAGTACACGTATTACTACTTTATTACTTAACAGCACTCACTTATCCTTCCAATATGAAAGTTGTAAGTGTTTATTCAGGCTGACAAGGAGGAGCAGGTGTATTGTCAGTAGGAAATCCAGGCAGGTACAGTAGCTAAAACAACTATCTGTGCAGGTGGGGGTTGATATGCTCCGAAATTTTATGTGTGACTAGTGACAGCCCTCATATACCAAAATTTATCGTCCATGGTCTCATATTGTTTCCCACAAAGTATGCACTGATAGTTGTTTTAGCTACTGTGCCTGGACATCATAATTATGAAAGTGGCATAAACTTTCTTTTATAACTGAAGTGAATTTGTAGGGTGAGAGCTAATGAACCAGAGTTGATCCTTCTGGCAGCAATCCTGAGTCCTCACTGTACTTTGTGCCAAGATTTGGTTTGTAAAATCTACTTAATTGGTGCCAGATTAACGAGAAGCTGTTTAGATATTGTAACCTGGGATAGATATAGAGAACTTGTTTAATAGATATGCATTTATTTATTTTTAGAGACCTATGATATCAATGCTTATATGAATCACTCACAATCTTTCTAAACATTGGCATGTATTAGTTACTGGTGAGGATAATTTTATCTAATAAATATTAACTGTTGCAGGAGGTCCTGGAAGTATGAACTCAATATCATCTGATTTCTGGTTAGCCAGTCACTTTCCTGGAATGCAAATCAATGGACGTATGTCAGCTGTGCGCCGATTCTTCTGCCTTTTTGTGACGTTTGATTTCCTCTTCACAAGCCTTTTTTGGGCTATTTGTGTATTGGTAAGTTTGACTGATCATCACCATCATCATTGTTTTACAGCCAACTTCCAAACTTACATACATAGATTAGCCACAGTTATATAGCTTTTCATGCTGCAAGGACTCTTGCAGTCTCTCTTGTCAGTTTCCTAACTAATGTACAGTAATCCCGTGTTTTTCGCGGGAATTACGTTCCTGAAAAGCCAAAACCGCAAATACTCTTTTACAAATCACTGTATCTGTGGTCACCAAACAGCTTACAGTAGGTAGGTCATGCACTTAACCACGCCATGCTCTCCACTCACTGCCCAGTGGTCACACTGATCGCTGGTGCACTGTACCGGCATTTACTAACATAATTATTTGAAACTAATCATATTGTAGTGTAATACATGTAATGGAAAAACGTAAACACAGTTATATACAAAAAAATCTTTATATACAAGTAAATAAAATTTTTTGTATTTCACCGAGGTCGGCAACACCCGCATTGCCAGCCTTTCCCTGCTGTCCCGGCGTATGCCCTCCCTCACGCAGTCACAGTAGCGTTCACAGTACGGTAGGCATGTGTGGACTGAGGCTTCTCGGAGCAGCGGGTATCTGAGGCAGGAAAGGGTGGCGTCTGTTTGCCGCACTGCACAGGGGAATATCGAAAATGGAGCGAAATTTATTAATTTTTTTTTTTAAGGATATTTTATATACAGTAAAGCCTCCGATAACAATGGTTCGACCAACAACTTTTTATATTTAAGACCCTAGTTCATTTAGGACCCAATTCAATATACATCCTTATTTCATTCGTATTTATGACCAAAATAAAAAAAAAAATAAAATAAAATTACATTTTCATATAAATAATAACTACATCCCAATATGTTTTAAAAAAAAAATTACCGTAAAAAAATTAAGAGCGCCTTGCACAAAGAAGCTGTCTTGCTAATGAGTGGTGAACAACAGTCGGAGCTTGGCGGGCCTTTTGTTTTCACGCATCGGGAACAGGAACAGGAGAAAAACTTTCTGAGGTTTCTTACAGCATTTTTGCATCCCTATTCAACATGAGCAAGAGAGCAAGTGATTTTAGTGTTGTTTCAAAAGCTAATAGAAAGTGTATAAGCTTAGCTGAGAAACTAGATGAGTTAAAACGATATGAAAAAGGTGAGAGGTCTCTGGATATTATATGGAGCAAGCAATGAACATATTTTCTGAAGTGGATCCATTAACAGAACAAAGCATTAAGATTTAAATAAACGCAAATGACCTCTACATAAAGATGTATAATGAGAAAAGAAAGCAGCAGTGCAAGTTTCTTTCGACAGCTTTATTATCCGAAGGCCTAAACCATCAACTTCAGCTGCACTATCAAATTCAGCATCATAAGCAGCTTCAACATTAACTTCAGGTTCAGAAACAGTTTCAGCAACAGCTTTATGGAAAGCTACAGCTTCAGCCAGAGTTGAACCTATAGCTTCAGCAATAGTTAAACCTGATGACTTCGTCATCTGAGTAAAAACTCGCACAATATTCATTGGCTGTCCTTATGTTTTAGACTTTACCACCATTGGTGAGTAGAAATTTTGGTTTACATTCGTAAATATTATTAAAAACATATATGAACAGTAAATAAGTGTTGCTTTCATATTCATATGTAGAGAAATGCCGATAGGTTTTCACATGTACGCACTTACTGTTCATACGTTGGCGTTCCCAATCGTCTCGCTTTATTTCTTTACCATTAGTGGTTAACTACTTCTAGTGTTCCATTTATTAACATTAAGTACCATTACTTAAAACATACATACAGGTATTAAATTTTTTTAAATTAAGTTCACTGCAGCTACAAACAGGGTCTTATTTTCTTCAGTTTCTTATGTAGAACCATCTTCACTCACGAAAACAATGCCGTCTTGTCTCCTCGTGTGTTTTAATATTCTACGTATTATTAATGAATTGCATTGTTCATTTCACATATACAGTATAAACATTAATTCAATCAAATACATATTCACTAATAAACAATGATGAATCTTTTGTACATATTCTTAAGATAAATGACTATGTTTCCCTGAGTGTGCACGTATACATTGGCTTTCCACTATCAGTCTCTTTTTCTTTAATATCAGTGGTTACTTCTACTGTACATTTAATAACATTAATTAAAACATACATATTTTTTACATTAATTTTATTACAACAACAACCAGGGTCTTATTTTCTTCAGTTTCAGGTGGATAACTGACATTATGGGTGTAAACACTGACAACAATGCCGTCTCTTATCCTCTTGTGTGTTTTAATATTCTACGTATTTTTAATGAATTGTATTGTTCATTTCGCATATACAGTACAGTATATAAAGATTAATTCAATCAAATACATATTCAGTAAAAAACAATAATGAATCTTTTTTACATATTCTTTAAAAGATAAATGACGCGGTATCCTTAAATGTGCACGTATATGTTGGCGTTCCCAATCCATCTCTTTTTTTTTTCTTTGCCATTAGTGGTTAGCTACTTCTATTGTTCCATTTATTAACATTAAATAATGTTACTTAAAACATATATTAATTATTTTTATTTTTTTTACTACAGCTACAACCAGGGTCTTATTTTCTTCATTTTCTCGTGTAGAACTATTGTCCCGGATTCCCGGCTGTAAACACAAACGAAAACAATGGCGTCCCATCTCCTCTTGTGTGACCATATTATTATTCATTTATATTGTATAAGGTGCATTCAGAAACATTATTTAAAGAATATGGTCTGCAATTTTCATTAATTGTATTGTTTTGGGGGGATAAGAGGGTAAAAAGCCACACAAAAGATATGAAAAGGTCACACTTGGGAACGCATCTCATTATTATTGCTTTATTTTAATGGTAATTAATGATTTGTGATACGATGGTTCACCTTACACTGCAATATTGGAGGACACATTAACATCGTTATTCGAGGCTTTATTGTACACTATACGTATGTAATTTTTAGTAAAAAAAAACGTGAATGGTCAAAACCGCGATAAAAAAAATTGCGAAAAGCATAGGATTACTGTAATTGCTTACACTAAAAGAATTATACTCAAACTCTTTTAATTTAGCAACTTTAGGTCTTGATTTATTGGTAAATTTGGACATATGTCAAGACATTGTTTTTTTTTTTTTTCAATTTAAATGGGTAATTTGGATAGCATGAAAAGGCAAACCTAATGATAATTATATGACAGAATTAAGTCTACCCCCATACTTTTTTCTTTCAGATTGAAAATGAAGGGCAGTATGCAGCACTTATAAAAGAGATCATACATTATAATATAAGATTATCTATATTTGACATAGTGGTAAGTGTGTATTGAATTAGTTTTTGAAACAGCACAGTATTAGTGTATAAGTCTCAGACGACTGTGGAAGTACGCTTGAGTACAGGGGTATCTAGAATCCAAAAATCAATTCCATGAAATATGTAATGTTCCGAAGCATTTCTAAATCAAAATTCCCTAGAAATCTCATCAGTTGATCTAGCTTAGGTTGGTCAGCTGATGTCATGGCATCTCTCACAGCATCAGAAGTTATATTCAGACTGTACATGTTTAGTAAAGATGAAACTAATCAAATAACTAAACTAGGTTTAAAGCATTTTGTGGCTGACAGTCCTAACACGAGTTATATTTAATCTACGGACAAAACCGCGACACGACTTTTGTCTTTGATTGTACACAATACAGTGCTGTTTAGTTCAGTTTGGTCCATGAGATGAAGTCAGCCTGAGTATATAAGTGGCAGAGTGTGGACATTGGATCACCAATTAGTGAGACGATGGTGTTTGTACAGTGAGTGGTATTGTAGTAATGTTTGAGAGTTGGTTTATATTTTGATTACTTTATTGAAAAATTAATTAAGCCTAACTAATTTTTATTGTACCAAATACAGTGTGGTGGCCCTTGAGGGGTTAGTGAATGTGGGAGAGTGTGTAATGTACATCTCCCATGAAGTTTGTACCATGCTGACAGTGCGAGTTACTTTTATTGGTCCAATTTTGTCTTGCTGTAAGAAATTTAATGTACTCATTTTATATTACAGATGGCTGCTGCATCAAGATTTGTCATTCTTCTACTTTTCTATGCATTGCTACACATCAATCACTGGTGGATGGTTGCCGTGAGTTTTATATATGAAGAATTGCATTGTTGTGCTGCAGAGTTAAAATTTCTAGTTACATAAGAGTAAATAATTACTTGAAGTTTCTTTGTTAAAAGAATGTTAAGTGAAATATAAAGACCATTTGTAAGATTGCCATATTGATGTAGAATGTACAGTATATATTGTATAATTATTCTTTAAAGATTGAATTTTTTGCAGTGGTACATTACTATTAGATCATGTATATGCACATAAAATTATCTTGTACATTTGTTCCAGATAACCACTGCAGGAAGCTGTGCATTTTTCATCTGCAAGAGTTTATTATACAAGGTAGTACAGTACAGTACTGTATTATTTGTCTTCATTTATCATGAGAGTTTATTTTGCAAATGTTTGTCTTTATGTGAGGCTGCATAACCATACCGTTGTCATATTTCATCACTGTTTAGAATTTTTTAAGGTATTATTCTTAATTTTTTAGTAATAATTTTTTTTTTACTACAGTGGAACAAAAACACAAGTTATCCATTTGAAGTGACGCTAGTTCTTCTTTCATTCTTCATCGCCTGGATTGAAGCTTGGTTTGTAGACTTCCGTGTGTTACCACAGGAAGCCAGAGCCAGGTCAGTTCTTGAAGGTGAGAACAAATATTACAGAAGCTTCTTCTTTGTGTGTGCTGTAGTTTCACAACTGCCATCAGCAACTGGCAAATATAGTTCAGTAACTGTTTTGGGTGGATACCTGACTTTGAGACAAGGCTGTAGATATGTTAACTAATGTAGTTCAAACCTATATACAGGTATATTTTACCTACAAAAGTTACCTTGTACAGTAGTGCCTCAATACACTGGACCAATTGGGGCAGACCCCAGTGTGGAAATTGCAGAAGTCCAAAAAAGGTGACTCTGGGGAGGATGGGGGGATCTGGTCATAACACTGCTTATCTGGATTGTTTTAAGAAAATCAGTTGTTATAATGTTATTACAGTAGTACTGCACTTCAACAACCAAGAACTTTAAGTGCATAACAAGATTAGCATAACACTATACACTAGGGTTGTTGAGTATGCGTGTCTTACCCCCTGGACTACTCTTACGCTCCGGTTCAGTTACCCACCAGCCATCATGATGGATGTACATCGTTTGACGTCTCGTGATCCGCCTCGTTCCTCCACACCCTCGACAGTAGTGCTATTTGTCAAGTGTTGCTTGATTTAAGTGGCATTGGTATACTGTAGTATCGGGTGATAAAGACAGTATGGGGAGGGAACAGACTGAGGTGATGTCGAGTTGGTTGAGGTGGCCAGCGGTGTTGACAGTGATACAGACAATGGTGCTTACACCCTCTTTCCACCCTGCTAGCCACCCCCTCAATGAGGTCGTGGCTACTGTGGACATAGGGGACCATGTGCATGCCAGCCTCAACAGTACGCTTGGAATGACTGCATTAATTTTATGCCTGAAATACCAGTTTTTGAAAGTAGATTGTTTAAAAAAAATTTTTTGTCAAAATATGCCCTCATGTGGGGTCCGGTGGGCTTTACGTCGCCCGGGGCATATGGGTTAAGGATCTGGGCTCAAAATTTTTAAATTTGTGTTAATTAATGACCCTTTAATTGAACATATTTAGAATATTTAAATTGTCAATTATATGATGTGCCCATAAGTTTTAAGCCACCTTTATATACATTTGCTAAAGACTATGCACTAACATTAGTTTTCACTTTCCAGGAAAAACCTTTACTTACCCTGAAAATGCCTTATTATCTTGTGTTTCGGCATATGGGGTCATGACGTAGATTTTCTTAAAATTTCATACAGAGGTACTACATGCTGCCTAAGGATCTGGGTTCAGAATTTAAAAATTAAATGTGTGTTCACACTAGCACAGAGAGTGAGGAAGGGAGGGAACAGCGTTTCCTCACGGCTCCGCTGTCTTGTGCAGTGACAAAATTGCCAAATAGCAATGCTGTATTTATTTTATTTTATTATATTTTATTTATTGTTATAATTTTTATTTATTCCTCACATTTACTGATACAGTATATATTATTTTATGTAAAAAGAATGGCGGCTTCCACACACAAACCATCCTCTGGGCAACGTGACACAGTTCAACTGCTTGCCCTGGCAGTCACCGGGGAACCTCCCACGCATCTCGTGTTGGTTACACATGTTCTGCCATTTCAAGATTGCAACATCATATCTCGGAATTTTACGTGTAATTGCACCTCTATTTTTCATAGTAGTGACAATGCAGGAAAAGCATTCAGATAGCGACCATTGTAAAGCTGATCTCTGGCCATCACATAGTGGTAAATGGTGTTAATTTTTTAACATCATATAACTGATTGAGTATACTGTAAACCCTTGATATCTCGGCACATATGGGGCTCTGGCCTTACCGAGTTATCCCAAATTCCAACTTATCGAGGCACTTTCCCCCTCCTACAAACATACAACGATAAAAAATTATCAACCCATATACAGTATGTGTACACGTAATTAATAAATGTAAAAAGGTAACACTTACCAGCACTGCAGATAAATAATGAAGCACCATAGTAAGAGAGACAGATGCATGGTAGGTGACACAGAGGCATGGTAGGTGACACAGGTATGGTAGGTGACACAGGCATGGTAGTTGACACAGAGGCATGGTAGGTGGCACAGGCATGGTAGGTGACACAGAGGCATGGTAGGTGACACAGAGGCATGGTAGGTGACACAGAGGCATGGTAGGTGACACAGAGGCATGGTAGGTGACACAGGCATGGTAGGTGACACAGAGGCATGGTAGTGACACAGAGGTATGGTAGGTGACACAGAGGTATGGTAGGTGACACAGAGACATGGGAGGTGACACAGAGGCATGGTAGGTGACACAGGTATGGTAGGTGACACAGAGGCATGGTAGTTGACACTGGCATGGAGGTGACAGGCATGGTAGGTGACACAGATGTATGGTAGGTAACACAGATGCATGGTAGGTGACACAGATGTATGGTAGGTAACACAGATGCATGGTAGGTGACACAGAGGCATGGTAGGTGACACAGATGTATGGTAGGTGACACAGATGTATGGTAGGTGACACAGAGGCATGGTAGGTGACACATGTATGGTAGGTGACACAGATGCATGGTAGGTGACACAGAGGCATGGTAGGTGACACAGAGGCATGGTAGGTGACACATGTATGGTAGGTGACACAGATGCATGGTAGGTGACACAGAGGCATGGTAGTTGACACAGAGGCATGGTAGGTGACACAGGCATGGTAGTTGACACAGAGGCATGGTAGGTGGCACAGGCATGGTAGGTGACACAGAGGCATGGTAGGTGATGCAGGCAGCCAGATATGCCAAGATTTTCCCAGGTAATTTTATATATCTCGGCATTTCCCGAGTTATACTAATAAATTCCGAGACCATATTCATGTTGAGTAAAATGAAATTCCGAGTTATCAAATGCCGAATTATCAAGGGTTTACTGTATATAGATCCATCATATAATGGTCATTACTTTTATATAGAGGTGTGGTAGCTCTAGAGGGTTACTTTTGTAATACTGTATTACAGGTTATTCTTTTAATTTCAGCTGCCAGTAATTGTGATCAACTAGAGAATGCTCCGTTATTACCTCATTTGGAAAGAGTTCGAGACTACTTGAGTAATTATACTGAAACTGTGGGAGATTTTTACTCTCCTATGGAATCGCCTCTTGGTAAGATATGCAGAAATCCACTTAATTTCTGAAATATTGATGTTTTAAATATATTATTTACATTTATAATTGTATAAAATTTGCTGCATTATCATCTCTACCAAGTACCGTATATGGCGGCGTATAAGTCGACCTTCGAAGCCAAATTTTTAGTGTCCAAAGTTAAGGGGTCGAATTATACGTTGGGTATAAAATGATGACCTCTAAAATCATGACCGTAAGTGAGAGTATTTCTTATTACAACCTTCATATTTACCTTTAATATAATTGCTCTATTTCTGTTATGGATGAAATAAAGTTTTTCTCAATAGTTTTATTTAAACACCTTTTGTTATTGATGTTTTAAGAGTGTGTGTGATCAAGTGTGTGAAGCTATGCAGTAGGTAAAATGAAGTCAATGTAATTGATAAAATTGCACTTTATTGATATACAATATAAAAATATCTTAAAAAAAAAAAATATCATTTTATTTACAAGTGAAACTCTAAACATACCCTATCTAAAAACCTTCAAAGTCAAGCTCATGGCTAGCAGACAAATGTAGGTCATCATAAGGGTCCGACTCCGAATCACTGGCTTCATCTTTGTCTTCGTTGTTGCTGTCCTCTCCGTCTGAACTTCTCCACAACATATCGTCGTCTTCACCATCTATCGTGTTAGAGATACCACATTTCTTGAAGGACTTTGTGATAACTTCTACTCGAATAGCATCCCAAGATTTGGCAACAAATTCACACAGTGCATCAAGTGGTGGAGCGCCCATATTCCCGGCCTTTGTGTACGTCTTGTTTCCTTCTACCATCCACTTGTTCCACTCTGCACAAACATTTTCTTTAAATGGCTTGTTAATGCTGACATCTAAAGGTTGTAGAATAGATGTTAAACCTCCTGGTATAACAGCTTGTTTGGTGTTGAGGTGGTTTAAGCACTTGTTATCCTTGATCAAGTGTAGGCTAAACTGGGGATAAAGGTCAGTTTGTTCATGTGAAGACTATCATAATTATCATCATGGTTTTATGGATATTTTCTGCGCTTTTGTGGGTTAGCTGTGGTTACCTGATGGCAGCTCTCCATTCTGCATGGTCTTTTACCAGATTCTTAGCTCTGAGGTAATTTCTTACAACCTCTACCCATGTAATTCTAGACTTAACTCTAGCCTCTATCCATGTAATTCTAGACTTAACCCTAGCCTCTATCCATGTAATTCTAGACTTAACCCTAGCCTCTACCCATGTAATTCTAGACTTAACCCTAGCCTCTACCCATGTAATTCTAGACTTAACCCTAGCCTCTACCCATGTAATTCTAGACTTAACCCTAGCTCTCCTCCCACCCACATTGGACTCGTGCATCATTTGATCCAATTGGTCTCCTCCATTCTCTCTAAATGTCTGAACCATCTCATCCTACCTTTATGCAAAACCTCGTCAATACAGTAAACCCTTGATAACTTTGTATTTCATATAATTCGGCATGGATATGATCTCAGAATGTATTAGTATAGCTCGGGAAATGCCGAGATATATAAAATTATCTGGGAAAATCTTGGCATATCTGGCCGCCTGCATCACCTACCATGCCTCTGTGTCACCTACCATGCATCTGTGTCTCTTACTATGATGCTTCATTCTTTGCCTGCAGTGCTGGTAAGTGTAACCTTTTTACATTTAGTAATTACATGTACACATACTGCATAAGGGTTGATAATTTTTTATTGTTGTATTTTTGTAGGAGGTAGGAAGTGCCTCGATAAGTCGGAATTTGGGATAACTCGGCAAGGCCAGAGCCCCATATGTGCCGAGTTATTGAGAGTTTACTGTACTCCTAATGGCCAGTCGCCCTCTTAGCTCCGAACAGGGTTTCGTATCTTTCAGTGTAACAGTTACACATCTACCTCACCATTCTCATTTTAGCTCTCTCAAGCCTGCATATGTCATCATCTTTAACTACCAATTGTTCACTTTTCTAGCTAGTTGCAAGTATATTTTCTTTCCTGCAAAGAAAATGTTCTCCTGCTGTCAGTAAAGGCAGCAACTCCCTTAAGGTTCTCTGTGTTCCTTGATGCACCCCACATGAAGTTGTGAGATGTGTAAAGGTGGGAGATGGATAGAACATGAAGAGAAGTTTACTGATGAATACAGTGTTTGACCAACCATCTCTTATTTCAGGGTCAGATGAGGAAGACGAAGACTTTGCAGAGAGCAGCCACAGAAAGTTAACTCCTCAAGTTAGTTTTCTAGCTTAAGTTACCTTTTTTTATTGCTGTTCTTTTTGGGGGGTTCCTTTCAGGAATGTAGACAGGGGTATTACCCTTGTCTGTCAATCATTTCCTAATGTCCATTTGAATGTATGTGTGACTTTGACTTTTCTTGAAAACTTTTTCATAGACATAAGCTTTACAGGCACATGTTACTTGATGAGTGCTGCATTTTCACATCCAAATAGGGAATTGATCATATTGAAGTGTCCTTTTGTTTAGTTTATTTTCATTGGGGCACCCTTGTATTATAGACCCAGAGAGAAGGATGCAGTTCATGCTATGTTTAGCTGTGAAAAAAAAAATGAAACAGTGGAAGATTTAGTGCTCCTTAAATTTAAAATTTATTCAGTTCATGCAACTTTTGGATTTGAAATTGATATCTTCATTTGTTTTAAAATTACCAAATTTATTGTGTATAAATTGCATAGATTGGTAGGTTTCATTCTCATTATATGGACCAGAATGTTATAGGATAAGTGGAAGATGCTCACTAGTACAGGGAGGATTTACTCTTTGTGAAGATTATTTTCACACCAAGAGAGGCTGTTACTCTTGTATGGCTGCTGTATCCATTTGGAAAAGGTGGTCTTATGAGAAGGGAATGTTTATATTGAGCAAAAATTAGGATTGGTATATTTATTTAAACTTGTTAAAATGTCCACAGGAGCAAGAAATACAGGACAGTGGCTATGAAGCAATGCAAAAGGCATGGGAGACAATCCATTCCTCTGGTTGGAAATTAGAAAAAGAGAGTTCCCATGGTGACACAATTTACTCCAAAGTTAGCTCCAAAGGCTCCAAAATATATAAACTCATGGTATGTACTAATCCCTTTGGCTAGTTCACTAATCCTGACATATGCTTGTGTATATCTCCTTACACAGTTATTATCATTTGGCAGTGTGTTGTGTACTAAAAAACCTGTACACAACACAATCTCCCTCTTCTCTTATGCAGACGACATAACTCAAATCATGCAATACCCAGGGAAATCCAAACAAATGATGGCAATCAGAACAGGCAGAGAAATCAAAACCATAAACAATTACAAAAGGAAATGGAAAATCAAAACAAACAAGCAAAAACTGAAGACGATTCATATAGCAAAAACCAGACCCTACCCCTTCATGGTCACCAACCAAAATATATCACATGCAGAAAATGGGAAAATCCTTGGCTGCAAAATTACAAGAAGCGGCAAACTCCCACATGTCAAAGAAAGAATCGCAAAAGACAAGACCTAACTAACTAAACTCAGAAGATTCCATAAACTAAACACCAATACACAACTACATCTGTATAAAGCACTAGTCAGACCACACTTGGAATATCTCCCAATTCCACTCAATTCTATAATAAAAAAATAAACAAACTACAGGCAGTCCAAAACGTAGCCCTCAGAAGAGCAGCAAAACTCGTACAAAAACTGCCAGCGAGCTACACACACAACCTAACCTAACCACAATCAACATCAGAATGCACAATCAAGCATTAGCAATATGGGAAAAGCTACAAGAACTAGAAGACCCCATACTACAACAACTAATGCAAGAAGACATTACCAGAACACACAGTTGGTTGCCAAAGAGCATAATAGACGACGACACAGAACCAGAACCAATATATACACAATGAAAACTAAGATACACAAAAGGACCTGGAGCGCCCCCAAAAAAAAAAAAAAAAAAAAATACCTTAGCTTAGCTTAGCTTGTCTTCCCTTGCCTGAGTGGACCTGCTAAAATGCTGTCGTGGCAGAAATCCCGTCCCCGCAAGGTGGATAACCTACCTGCTATCAAATCTCCCTCTATATTTCCCACTTCCTAACTTCTACCTTCCTCCTACACAATCTTCCACCTTCTGAGCAAACGGCTCTCTTCTCTCCATATCATCATCATCATCATCATCATCATCATTTGCCCCCTGAAATCTTCTCACTGAGGCAACTATATTTTGATTAGTTATGCTGGAGATTATTTTGTGGTCATTGTATTTTTCATTTTTCCTAATTAATTTTTTTTTTCAGGGAGTGATTGATATTGATGCCACCCTGTTATTCAATGAGCTAATTTACAACTTTGAAAATATTCCAAGTTGGAACAAAGCAATTACCTTGGGCAAAATTGTACAGGTAAGTAATATATATATATATATATATATATATATATATATATATATATATATATATATATATATATATATATATATATATATATATATATATATATATATATATATATATATATATATATTTAAATTTTGTTGCACATCATTATGTGTGTTTTATGTAGGTATGTTTGGAAGCATTGGCTACACCTTTCTCATAAAACCTGTAGAATTGATTAATGAAAGGATTTTGCTTGGGATGGAAGGCAGTTTTAGGGACCCAGTTAGGGGTACCTCAAGAGAGTAGATATCTTCATGTCATGGAGTACCAGCATAAATGGAAATGGAGAAAGACTGACAAGAATGTGGGTTGAGAGTCAATTGATTATAAGGTACTCGTGGTTCAAAAAGAAGGAAACTGTAAATTTAAAGACATATATTATGTTGTTCATGAGATATCTTTCTTAATAATCGGGTTACCCAGATCTCTACAAATATGGATAGATTCCAGATAATTGTTCTGTACACTGAGTTAGCTGTCTTGCTTTATCTCTGCCAAACATATAATTGGACCTTTGAAGATTCAGATACTGTATACTGGATTCTGTATAATGAGATAATGTTTACCTTCTAAATCGGTTAAAATCCTCGTTTTGGCTTATAAAATGGGATTTCCAGTATATGTCCCAATACAGTCAACCCTCACTTTACGCGGTTAATACAACCCACAGGGTACCGCGGAAAGTGAGAAACGCGTAAAGTGAACAACATAACATATGGGAATAATTGAAATAGAGACCGGGCCGACCCCCAAACTCCACTTTTTGACGACACACAACTATGTTGTAGTAAAAATAACTTCTTAATTTTATGATGGTATGCACACACAGTTAATAATTAAGAGAAATGCCAATAATATTAGGTTTTTTAACACTTACATTAGTAGAAAAGATGGCTGGGCACACGGGGATGGGGGGTTGGTTCCGAGGCAGAGGGCAGATTATTGGCCCTCACCTGTATCACTTGTATCAATTGTATCACTATCCACCACAGAGGCTTGCAGGGCCTATTTGTCAAACCCCTCAAAGTCCATATAAGTCCATATCCTCACTATAATTATCACTATCACTGACTTGGGCCGGCTGTGGTGGGTGGCGGGTGAAGAACTTGGTAAGGTTTTGATGACTGGGCGACCTTGTGCGCACCCTACTCGCGCCGTTTACACAACATGGCGGGAGAGATGGCGGGAGGTTTGGATCCAAAAATGGCGCGGCTCGCCAGCCGCTCTCTGCGTAAAGGGGTACACGCACCGCGGAATGTGAGCATCCCGGGTTCCGGCAGGGTACCGCATAAACGTGGAAACGCGGAATGTGGCACCGCGTAAAGTGAGGGTTGACTGTATATAAATTTTTGACATTGGTAATGATTATTCGTCAACAGACTATAGACAGTTGCACTGATGTGGTGTACCAGATAGCAGCAGAAGGTCCTGGAGGTGTGGTTGCTGCCAGAGATTTCGTCACTGTGCGTCACTGGAAACAGATTAATGACAGCTGGGTGTGTGCAGTTCTCTCTATAGAATACAAGGATGCGCCTCTGCAGAAGAATTTAGTCCGGTAAGTAAAGAATCATTATATTTCATAATATCAGGGACTTTTTATTCTGTGACCCTATAATATATATATACTGTATACCGTATATACTCGTGTATGGTTCGAGTTTTTAAGACCAAATTTTTAGGCAAAAAATTGGGGGTCGTCCTATACATGCGTAATAGTTTTGTTAGGTTGAACCCGCGCATGATGGGAAGGGTGAGGAGCAACTTTTAGCTTCAGACATGAAAAATATTTACCATTTACTGCCAGTAAACAATGGAAACGTAAAATATGTACCAATTAGTAATGAAAAGTTGTGCAGTTCCTTCAGTAAATGAAGCTCACCAACTTACAATAGGCTAAATTACCTTACAACGTGCTTTCAGTAGTCTATGTTGAAGTTCTTAGCACAGGCTAACTTATCATATCATATATGGTATCACAGTTCTCATTGATCTACAAAAAATACCGGTAATAAAAACCTTTTCGATATTTCACACTTAATATAATACCCGGTAATCTACTTCAACCTCCTATTGTTTACAACGACGCATGACGCATCACGCACCACTAGCTGTATCAGCTAGACGGTACACGTGTTTTTCGAATCGTTTTCAGTTAAAAAACTGTTACATCACATGTATATTTGGCCTTAACTGTGTCTGAATGAATATATTCTCGGAAATAAATAGTAGTTTTGCTGAAACGTGATATATTTTAATGTAAAATAGGATAAAATACATGACGAAAACAAAAGATTTTACCTAACCTTCCGATGTTTAAGAGAAGTTACTCGTTTTTTAATAGTTTTTGGTTAAAATATTGTTATATTACAATAGTATTCTATTCATACTGTGCTTGATATAATGCATTCATGGAAATGTAATATTTTTGCTGAAATGACGTACGTATTACAGTGGAAAGTGGGATAAAATCGTGACGAAAACAATGACTTTCGCTTTCTTTCGTTCAAAAGATGTTACCGTAATCGCTTTTCGAATGGTTTTCAGTTAAAAAACTGTTGTATTACGATAATATTCTATCCTAATTGACTTGAATAAATACTACTATACCATATTTCTGAATATTTTCATTAAAATCCATCAAAATCAATTTCCTTGTCATCGTCTGTAGCAATAAACAGCTTCTCCCAGTCCTCTCCTTGAACAGGGCTAGAGGGTACGTATTTTTCGAATCGTTTTCAGTTAAAAAACTATTACACCACACGTATATTTTACCTAATCTGCCCCTGAATGAATATATTCTCGGAAATAAATAGTAGTTTTGCTGAAACGTGATGTATTTCAATGTAAAATAGGATAAAATACATGACGAAAACAAAAGACTTTCCCTAAGCTTCTGTTCTTGAGATGTTACTCGTTTTTTTAATAGTTTTCGGTTAAAATTCTGTTATATTACAATGATATTCTATTCATACTGTGCTTGATATAATACATTCACGGAAATGTAATATTTTTGCTGAAATTACGTACGTATTACAGTGGAAAGTGGGATAAAATTGTGACGAAAACAATGACTTTCGCTTTCTTTCGTTCAAAAGATGTTACCGTAATCGCTTTTCGAATGGTTTAGTTAAAAAACTGTTGTATTACAATAATATTCCCTCCTAATTGACTTGAATGGAAATATACAATATTTTTGTTGAAACTACCCGTGTTTCAGTGTAAAGTGTCGTAATAATAAATGGTAAACAATTTGCCTTCGGCACTCGTGTTTCATGCACAGCGAGCCTCAGTTTATAGGACGGAGAGCGTTTTTAGTGAAGGTTCTGTTGTTCCATTACCCTCAAAAACGTGGGTCGAACTATAAACGAGGAATATCGTAAATTAACGATTTCTTGGTCAAAAAATCAGGGTCGACCTATAAACGAGGGGGGGTTATAGACGAGTATATACGGTATATATATATTTATTTATTTATTCAGTTATGTGCAGAATATTCTATTTTTCAGTGGAGAAAATGGCCCTGGGTGTTGGGTATTGAGACCAGCTGATGAGACACCAAAGAAATGTTCTTTCCAATGGCTGTTGGACACAGATCTCAAAGGATGGATTCCTCAGTATGTTCTTGATCAGGCACTAACCTATGCCATGACTGACTTCATGAGTTGCCTTCGAAGTTACACTCCAGCTTTCAAAGCAAAGCATTTGCAAAAGCGGGGAGGTAGATAACTCTTGTCATTAGAGATTAAGTAATGTAATATTAGATATTCAATTATCTTTACAGTTCAGAAGACACAGTGACAAATCTTATATTTCTTTAATGTTTAAGCCTTTATTTCTGTCTGTAAGAATTCTTATGATGTGATTATGACATAACATTGTGATACTTGTAGTCTTATTATTATTATTGTTATGGTTATATCTCACTATGCCCTGTATTCATTTTCATGCCACGTTGTAAATATAATATTTTTAGAGCATAAAGAAAGGCGACTAAATTATGCTTTCAAAAGTAACATCAGGTGAAATGTTGATCTTGAGAATTACAATAATAAGAATATTTTTAGTACCTATTTAAGCAATGTAAATTCCACCCAATCCATCAAATTTTTCACATTCAATTAAGAAATGTAAATTGACAAATATGCTCTTGTTTTTTTTGCAATTTAAGAAAATTCTTAAGGTAAACAGATATTTGTTAAAACATTATATCAGAATTGTATCTCTGTAGACTTTACTGATAAGTAATTTAAACTGGGTATTTAAATACAGGGGGTCCCGGAGTTATGGACAGGTTCCGTTCCTGAGTTCTTAAGTTAAAAATGTACCCAAGTTGAAACACATGTTATGTACACACTGTATGTACTTACAGAACAGTGTTTAAAATCCCACTATATCATAACTTAAGTTCTTATATATACATCTAAAATCACTTAATTTAAGAGAAAAAAAGAATTAGAATAACAAAATACTCTAAATTAAAGTAAAAAATAAGTCATCAGGTAAATAAAGTACTGTAAATTTAAAGTTTAACCTCATTTGTATCAGCAGGCGTTCGTAAGTTGGACGTTCGTAAATTGGAGACCCCCTGTAGTAAATAATAGGGCAAGCTGAAAGCACAGAATGTGATGTCATTTTCACCAAAGGTACAACTTGTTTACCATTTGCTTAAACAACCTGTGGGGTCTATACAGTACAGTACTCTACTCCCGTTGATTGGGTGGGGTCTACTTTATATATTTGTTTTATCCTGACAAGTGCTCTCAAAATTTAGAGATTATCTTGTTTGTTTAAAAGGAGTTTTGAAAATGGTTAACTTTGACAGGGCAAACCCAACTTAAGGGAATTAGTTTGATTCTCATTAAATTTGGCTTCGAAAAATACAGTATTTTGGATTCTGATTTAGTCTGGTTAAGTGAGAAAGGAAAAAACCATAATAAAAGAGATATTTTGCTTTGCTCAGATGTCTCTGCAATAATGCATGTAAAATTATAGATGACTCAGTTGGTAATACTCTATTGAAACTATAATTTTATGTATTTTTTTTAATAACAGAAAACCTATATTTGTTATAATTTTTGAATTCTTGAAAGTTGTGAGTGAGAATGTGGGAGTTTCAAATATAATTGACAGATACAAGGAGGTACTGTATGGTTATTTTCATTTTGATACAAATATCATGTACACCCAGCATTGCCTTATGATCTTGTTTGCTCATAGATACTTTACTCATATGATTTAAAATGTTGCTAGAAATGTAGAAGCAGATGTTTATTTAGATTTATCTCTTCTCTTCCAGCACATTTTTGGAGTAGTTATTTCTTGTGTATTGAATGTCTGAATTGTAAGAGAATGTGTTGTTTCTTTATTTTACCAATCCATATGTGACAGACATAGGAACCTTACTGGCAGTCAATTTATACTGTTTGCATCAGTACAGTAATCCCTGGTTATTTGCTCCTTAGAATAATTGTGGGGGCATTAAAATACAGTACAGTACTGTATAGTACTGTAATTTGAAATATCTTATATTCAGTATGTTTGAAAATTGCAGACAATTACTGCCGTGTAAACAAATGCACATCACGCAGCCAGCTCCCCTCTCATATGGTCAAGGCAATCATTATTTGCAGTAATTTTTGTTGGATACGTTTGTTTGGTGTGATTGACTAAGGCCCCAATGTGAAAAGTTAGTGAAAGTGAAGTGCATGACACAAAAGTTAAAAGAGAAAAGAAAGTGATGACATTAAAGAAGAAAATTGAGTTATTACACAAGCTGGTAGAATAATTGCTGCTGCTGTTGGCAGAGAACATGGTGTTAATGAATCAGCCGTGTTTCCGTAATGTCTTGAGAGTAAATGAGTCAGGATATGTGATACAGCTGCATGTCCATGTGATCAGCTGATGAATATTAAAAAAAAAATCTATGAAACTTTAAGGTAAGTTTTATGTATAAAATGCCTTTTATTTTATTTATATTCATATTATTATGCATAATTTCTGTACATAAATGCACCGCTTTTACTCACTGATGTTGTGTTAGAGCAGTGTAATACAGGGCCTGACAGCTTCTGCTAGAAGATGATATGCCTGTTTGTGCTGTCATTTATTGAGGATGGGAAAAATTACATTTTCATCAGCTTATGGACTGTCTTCATTTGATATTTATTTGTTAAACCTTTAAAAAATTCTTGCCATCATTTATTTTATTTTCAATTGCTTTCGTAAGATCTCCAAATGCTGATCATATCTTGGTAGCCTTCTCATCACTAGGGGCACTTTAAATATACTGTAGAAAATTATTGCACATTGATTTTGTTGCCTTTTATTTGCACATGGAGATATAGATAGCAAGAATATTGTAAGGGTCACAACATTTTAAGTAAGTGAAAATTATACAAATGTAGATACTGTAATTACAATACTTTAGTCCTTTAAAGGATTATAATTTTGAAGTGAGAATGTATGGGAATGCTAAATTGTATAGGTTCAAGATTGTGGCTGGAGAAATGAACGATAAGTGATTGAGACCTTCATCAAGGAATTGGTCCTGGATTTTTAGCACCTTCTATTTTATGTAACTTCCTTTTCTTTGAAACATCATCTCTTACAAAATACTTACCATTTGATGCTTTATATAACATATTGCTTTCAATAGAGAACCCAGTATAAATCAAGAACAGGGATATCAGATCACAGAGGTGATGGTGGTGAGTAGAATGTAAGGTTGTGTTTTAGTAAACTAAGAATAAAGGATTTATGTGGATGAAGCATGTGCAGTATTTTTAAAAATGAGATGGTAATTTTTAAATAATGGATAAACAAAAACTTATTTTGCATTATTTTTGGGTTTTGAAAAGACTTGGAGAAGAACTCTTGAATGTTTTGAGAAAATATATACGTATACAGTACAGTATATATAATGGTGGGGAGGAATGAGGAAAACCTGGGGTATTGAACAAAGAAGGTGAGGAGCAATTCAGGATGAACTAGGAAATATTTATATTTAAGGTTTGAGGATAGTGTGAGAAGTATGAAATTGCTTCCTTTATGTCCTAATGCTGTTAAACATTAATACATTATTACACATAAAAGTGTAAACTTGGAGTTGAAGATGGGTCTACAAATAATTTTATGCAACTATAACATATTATCCCATTTGCTTTTCGTAATATATATGGAATGTATAAAAAATGTCCAAACATACATTTGAAATGTTTAAATTCCACTGTTATTCTGTAATTGTAAATTTCTTTTGGTTAACTGTTAAGTCATTCCATGATTATCCTGTACAGGGTATATTGCAGTGGCCAATTTTATGATCTGACAATGCTTTGACTGAAGCCAGTTACCCTCCCTCATCCCTCCCCTGCGAGAACTCACTCCATCTTGGTCTCCAATTACCTAATCTTTTCAAACCCACATTAAAACAATGATTTTATTCTGGTATGTTTCTAGAGTAAAATTTTCATCTTAATACAGATGTTTTAATGAAGCTTTATAAGACTGTATCATTGATGGTGAAAATGCAGAATTCCTAACTCTACATTGTGTCAAAAGCCATGTGTCAAAATTTTGGAATGTTATTGTCTGGTTTTTTGCTTTTGAATTGAAAAATATGTTTAATTATTTTTTTTTTTTACATTTTCTTAAAAATTTCCAAATCAAATTAACTGCTTATTCCTCAAATTTACCTCAGTTATGCCCTTGGCCTTTTAAAGCAACATCTTAATCATGAAGCCTAGGTTCAGTCTAGTAGAAATAGACCTGTAAATACAGTGATCCCTCGATTAACAAACGGTTAAATTAACAAGGATTTTCAGTTCCATTAATGAACAAAACTTCGATTACTGACAGCCTTACGAGAAACACGCTTTGTTGTGTGCTTCAGCTGATTGGCTAGTCTGCCAATACAGTAATCGGTTCTATGTTTACATTCGTTTCCAGTGGAGTAAGTGTCAAGAAAGTTGTGCTCTTGAATATTTTTGCATTTTCTATATTAAAATTATTGATCATTCTGAAATTTAGTTAACATATTGATAATATATACAGTACAGGGAACAGTTTTTGTGTGCCCATCAGCTGATCGAATCACCCAACAATGCTTCTCAGTTTAACTTTGTTTACAGTGGAGTGAACATTCAGTTTGTTGGTCTCTTGAATATTTTTTGCACTTTTACATTAAAATTATTGGTCATTATGAAATTTAGTTAACATGTTGATAATATACAGTGCAGAAATTATTATTAAACACGAAGAAGGCATTAGAACCAATGCACTCTGTAAAGAATATGGCATGTCATCATCGACTGCCTCTACAATCAGCTGTTTGATATGTAAACAAAGCTGCCGGGAATATGACATACACACCTCAAAGTACCATATTTGCCGGCATACAAGGATATTTTGTGGAAAATTTATTTTAGTACGTTTCGTCATACAAATTATTGAAAGTACAGTAATTTTAAAGTTGTTTTGTAGTTGAAAACATATGATTTTGTGCATGTAAATACAATAAATACCAGAATCAAGTAGGAAATCATATATAGTAACAATATACTAACCCAACTCCACCTCTGATCAGAGCAGCTGTGTGGCTTGTTTATATATTGGTCAAGAAAATTACCAACGGGATGTAAAACTCGTATTTTTAGCTGTGATGTTTTGTGTTGCCGCGATCTCCCACCAGGGTGTAGCACCATTGCTATTGTTTTGGTGTCATCGACTCATTGCAAATAGCTGACTGGCGGTTGAACTTTCTGTTAACATTTCTTTAATCTTTCTTGGGGCATTTTTCATTTAGATATAAACAAATGTTTCCTAAAGGTAATACAGTCTTTAAATAATGTAAGATATGTATCTGGTGTTGGTTACGTCTGCTAGGGAAGGAGGTACCGTGAGATGTTGTGAGCTTCCCTCTGCCGTTAAGCCAATGTAAGCCATTATTTACGTCCGACAAATTTGCTGTAAGTTTGTGATAATAGATTGTGATAATTTGGCTTGTTTTTCAGTATTAAATTATATATATATATATATATATATATGTGTGTGTGTATGTGTGTGTGCGTGTGCGCGTGCGTGAGGGCGCTGATAAAGAGAACAGAACTTAAGGTTTCATGCAGTATTGATGCAAATACCCGTATATATATCGTATTCAATAAGAATTTTGTACAGTGTAGTATATGCAGAGATGGGGAGTACAGTACTGTATTGAGAAAAGGTATGGTTGATAAAGAATGGATTTCATGGTGGTATACACACATGGTAAGGATGGCTGGAGAAATAGTGACTTGAAGGATTGCTCGTGAGTGGGAGTGTATGGAAGTACGTAGTGGGAAAAAACAAAGAGAGTGATCCATTGGAAAACAGTATGAGAATACAGGCAGTCCCCGAGTTACGAACAGGTTATGTTCCTTGGCCCTGTTCGTAAGTCGGAACAGTGTTAATTCCATAGTTTAGGTTAGGTTAAAGCACAGTCCTGCCTCTGCAAAACGACAATAGTATCCCATGCATAACAAATAATGTAAATACTGTAAAGAAAGTTATTTTAAAGTTTTGTAAAAAGAAGGATTTCAGTTACAAACCTGCCCAAGCAAAACAAAATTAATATCCCATACAGAACAAATAATGTAAATATTGTAAATAAAGTGATGTTAAACAATATAGAATAATGAAAGTAATGTAAAAGATGTGATTTCTTAGTTACAGATTTTTGTGATGAATATACAGGTATTGGGATCCCATTCTTAAGTGCAGGTGTTCATAACTCTAGAACTGCCTGATACAATAGGTAAACAAGACAAGCACTAACATATCTTATATTCTCGATATGCTGGCCCAGAAGTTGATTTATTCAGAGTTTTGATCTTTTGTTGGTAGATTGCATGAATGTTTTGTGCTTCTCTTGGCAATGTACTGTAAGGGTATTCTTGGAGTGGAGACAAATATTTAGTAAGGAAGCTGATGCTATCTTCAATACTAGGTTGTGAATCAATGAAGTATCAAAAAATTTATTATTGATATGTGTTGACAATTAAGAGATTTGTCTTTTATCAGATGGCTTTATGTGGTTGTTTATCATGGCAATTATGGTTGTAAGTCAGTGACCGTATATTCTTCGGAAATACAATTAAATAAAAATCTCCAGTTTAGTAGGAAGGGTTGACATCAAGAAAAAATCTGAAAATTAGAGTAAAGTTGTAGAAGAAACAAAATACTGTACAGTACTGAACTGTATTATGAAATGGAGTGAAAATCTGTAACATAAATATTAAGTACTGTACTTTGGAAATGTTTCTGTTCAAATAGTGAGTTTCATCTTCTCATTTATCATTCCATTAAAGTATTAGAAATAGTGATGAGTGAATCAGTGATGCCCATTTTTTAAAATGTGTAGATATAACCATTTGGAGATTAGAATTTGTTACAGAAGTCTCGCTCACAATTTAGGCACCGATGAGTGTGTTGTTGACTTGAACACAGTTGGCTAAGGTATAAGTACATCAAATTATAACTAGGTATGTGATAATGGAGAGTCCGGAGTTAAAATCTCACAGCCTTATTGATAACAAATAAAACAAGGTTGAATCTCTTAGGGGCTACAGTACAGTATTTGTTTAATCACTAGAGCATTTCCAGCGCCTCCTCTACCTCTTGCCTTGGTGGTTTTTAATTATGAGAACTGCCTGGCTTTAGGGTTCATGAAAGAAAGGATTGACTTAACTTTAGCCAAGTGGCTAAGATACTCGCACTTGACCCATGGGTTAGTGGATTAGTTAGTTAAAATAAATATGAGTGGGAGTAGCCTTGGCAGAGTCTTAGACCTTCTTTTTAAAGAGCAATTAATACACTCAGTCCTTAGTTGGAGTGGTGGTATGTGATAGGAGAAGAAGGCTGGATCGTTGTACCAAAAAAGGAGGTTAATAGATTTATCCCTGACATACAGAATAAAGTGTGGCCTAAAGACTGAAAAATATAAGTTTAAGCACAAGTGGCTTCTAAAAGGGTATTTGTGGTTGAGTTTGTACATCAACATTGAGGCTTGAAACAAAATCTTGTTGGTATTTTTTGTCATTATGGTTTAATACAATGCAGAGTTAAATTTTTGTGCTTGGTCTAATTGGATGAAAGCAATAAATGTACCTTGACACAGGTAATTTCATCTTTGTGTGTTTTTCTTTACTTTGATATTCTAACTTTAGGTAAGCTTGTGATATTTTAATTACCTAGTTACTTCATTTTATTGTACCAGACGACCCGTATTATCAGATGTTTATAGAACAGTGGAGAAGTGTGTTTGTTATTTTATATTATTTATGAAAAATTTTGGAAGGGTTTTTCCTGATACTGTTGATACATACTTTAGTTTAATGCAAACAAAAGAAAAGTGTTGGTGTAAAGAACTGTAAGTAATCTTTTATGTAACCTTGTGAGAAGAGATTATACCTCATATTGGACATTACATTATGGGTAGTGTAATACAGTAGATGTGGACTGTAGATTATGGATACTATGTTTATATTCCAATTTAGTATTATTTCTACATTTTGGCAGATAAGTAGCCAAGAATCAGCATATGCAGAATACCCACACTATTTTGATACTATTTTTTTATGTGTAACTTCTGAAATACAGGAGATGCCCAATTGTATAATTATGAAAGGATAGATAACTAGTTCTTATAAACATTATGAATCATGGTTCTTTTGTATGGCCATATCCTTACTGAAGTTTCTTCTCTTCATCTGTTCAGCATTCTCAACATCTTCCTTAAAGAAAATTATCAATGTCACTTTCTTCCATTTCATGATTTCCTTATTCAGTTTGTCTCTGTGTATACTGCACAGACTCCCTTCATTTTACATAGGGATTCCGACCCTGAAAACCATTTGTAAATCGATTTTTTATAAACTGAGCAATGCCTATACTGTACAGTATTTCCAGGGAATTCTCATTGTATGTCATGTTCGTATGAACTCACCTGATCTGAGGCAAGGGCAAGATTGTGATGATTCTTATTTCTTATGTGTTGTATATTCATCATCACTTGACTTTTCTTGATGATTTAGGATTATTTTATGGATATTTGGTCTGGATTTTCCTTATCCTCAAATGTTATGTTGTTTTCACATTTTTAGTGCACATAACCAAAGGCAAGGCAAGATTTTGCTATGACTGTTTGATGGCACTACATCTGTTGGACTTTCTATATCTTACGGGTATTACTTTTTTATTCTGAACTGCTGGGTTGATTTTTAATCATATTTACCATTGATGCGTATTAGATTCTTCTTTTTTGACAGATCATAATGTGGTGTCTCATATTATTTACTGTACAGGTATTTTAATTTTTGTTAATATTCATCATTTGAAGGTGTGGCTATGTTAGCAACTGATGCACTACACCATCATGCTGTTGAACTGGGGAAAAGATTTGCATGATATAGTATTTGAATGTCACCTTCCACTAGGTTTTGA